GGTGAATTTCTGTATCCTTCATTTCTTAAATTTTATTTTTCCAAAGACATTAAAAATATTGTGCCAATATATAAATGTTTTCAGGATCTTTAATCCTTGGCCTCTTTCCCAAAATAGAGGCCAACTGTTATGGTGTTTGTATTGGCCATGTGTGCTCAATTAAATCTGCTACCCGCTTGACTAACTGAAGTTCCTAAAGTTGCCCTAGTATTAAAGACTTAGACCAGGGGCTGCCAACCTTTTCAGGCCAGAGGGCGCATTTGGAAATTTAAGGAAATGTCACAATTAAAATGCATTTTGCATTTTAAAATAGTTTTAGTAAGTGCTTGTTTACATTTGCTCTGCATTTCTAGGGATGGGTCCAGGCTTTCCAAGCCCTTCTCCAAGCACTTCTTATTTTTGCCCTGATGCTTTCCCTGTGAAAACCCTCTCTATACTGCTGAATCAGAACAACAATCTGTGGAATACCTGAATCGCAGTTTGCTCTGATTCAGCAGCAAAGAGTGGGTTTTTGTAGAATCATAGATTATTATTTTTTTAGTTGTAAGGGACCCTGAGGATCATCTAGTCCAACCCCCTGCAATGCAGGAATATGCAACTGTCCCATATGGGGATCAAACCTGCAACCTTGGTGTTATCAGTACCATGCTCTAACCAACTGAGCTATCCACCAGTGCCTTTTTCCTGGGGGAAGTTTGTGGGATATTATTATTATATACCCCGCCCATCTGGCTGGGTTTCCCCAGCTGCTCTGGGTGGCTTCCAGCAAAAGATTAAAATACAATAATTCATCAAATATTAAAAGCTTCCGTAAACAGGGCTGCCTTCAGGTGTCTTCTAAAAGTCAGATAGTTGTTTATTTATTTGACATCTGATGGGAGGGCATTCCACAGGGTGGGCGCCACCACCAAGAAGGCCCTCTGCCTGGTTCCCTGTAACTTCACTTCTCACAGTGAGGGAACCGCCAGAAGGACCTCGGCGGTGGACCTCAGAGTCCGGGCTAAACGGTGGGGGTGGAGACGCTCCTTCAGGTATACTGTACTGGAGTACTCAGACAGACTGAGAAAGGGCAGTAAGTCAATGCTTGCTGGAGTCATTTATGTTCATGATATATTCTTTATTACATATAATGCTTTTAAAAAGCAACACATCTTAATTCCTTTCTGCCCTTTCATTTATTACATTTCTTTAATACAGTAGCTAGATTTAAAACTTGGTATAATAAAGCCCTGCAGATTCTCTATCAGTAACCTTAAAATCAAGCCTAGATTTTTTTAGCAACTGCTTAGCAACCACATATCAGAACAGATACATTTTCCAGAATGGTTTTTCTTACAGGGGCTGAAGAACAAGCTGGAGCAAGCTGGATTTTGCTACTTACTCTGGGCCTCTACAAACGGCTGTTCCCATGCACGTGAATCAAGACAGGCCTGGATTTTGGCACTGGATTTTGGCAAAGGATAATGCTTTCACAATCTATGCCATTATGGTTCCTGGAACTTGGGTCTTTGTTCTCTAAACTACATGCCATTATAAAAGTAGTTCTTTCTCAGTGCTGATTTGGAGAAGGCAATTCAGGGAAGGCAACATAGCAAAAACCCAGAGGCAACATGGGGCTGCGGCTGCTTCTCTCAAAGCCTCACCTTTTCCTGTATTTGCTTGTTACAAGGAATCCCTGGCCAGCATCTTTTTGTATGTGTACCACCCCATTATTGGTATGTGTGTAATTAGGCTTAGGGACTATTCCCTTCACTCCAGTGCAGTTTTTCCATGGTAACTCTCTATAAGGGAGAGGACTCCATGGCTGTGTAAAAGTTTGGTTAGGAATGGAAAGGAGGGCAGACCCCAGCCAGGGAATCTGCAATAATTTGCAGCCAGCTGTTGCTGGGCTGAAGCATGCAAGCAGCATGTATAGGTCAGCCCTGGAGGTCAGGCAACCCAAAATATATCCTCCCAACAGCCACCACCATGTTTGTGGTGCTGCATCTTTCGTTGCACCTCTCCTCTGTACAGAACAGAACAGAAGGTGGGTGACCAGTTCTGGTATCCAATAAAATGTGGACATGTTTTGGGGAACATGTTCAGTGCATGAGAGGCTGAGAATGTGCAAACAGAAATTGAGCAATAAGAATAAACAGACTCTTGTGCATTTTGATTTTTGAGGCAATATTTACTGAAAACTTTCATAGGCACCACATGAAGTGCTGGTGGGCTCACTGAACAAGTATAGTGGTGGCTGATGTAGGTATAACTTTTAACCAATGGGCAGCATGCCACAAAATGTGGTCCTGTATTCCTGCTCTGAACTGCTGGCCCAAAGGAGGGATTTTGTGAGTGGTTGGGTGCAGGGATACCAAAGAAGGATGTCAAAAAAATCAGAATGGCCAGTTCTAGTGCTTTATTAAAGATTGGGTGTAGGTCTCCTAGACTTTACAAACGCAGGATGAACACTGCACCAAAGAGATGGCTTGTCTGCACCTAAGCAAAAGTGCACATATTCTTTATACACAGAGCATCATAGGTCACTTTGTCTAGGACTTCCCATCACCTCACTTGACTAGATGGGGGCATAGGTGGCAAATACCAAAGTCTTACAGATAGTTCCCTTTTCTGAGCTCAGAGCCCAGCACCCTCAAGCCTACAAATAAGGGTTCATATATATATAAACATATATGAGCTCATTGCTGCAGCAACTACCAATAATTGTGGGGTTATCTTTGACTACCAAGATGGTACTAGCAGAGCTTCCAGAACAGTTCATCTTTGGTTGAACACAATCCCCCTCTCACAAAAAAATTAGATGTAGAAGCCATTTTGTGTTATGCCATACCCCAAGAGCAGTCATTTTGTGGTGGGCACCCATAACAGTTTATCAAAATTCAAAAGTGGCCACTCACCCATGAAGGTTGGCAAGCCCTGGTCTAATTTTCCAACCAGATAATTACCGACTCCTCATTTAGGTCCACAGCTAAGAGTAGACAGTACTTTCTCATACACTATTACCCTGTTCCTACTCTTGTAAGGTTTGCTCCAGATTTCCCCCATTATTTTAGTTTTTTGTTAGATACAGTGGTATCTCTGTTTAAGAACAGCCCTGTTTATGAACTATTTGGTTTAAGAACTCTTCAAAACCAGTAGTGTCCCGGTTTGCAAACTCTACCTCGGTCTAAGAACAGAAGCCAAACGGTAGAAGGGCACCGGCAGCGGGAGGCCTCATTAGGGAAAGTGTGCCTCGGTTTAAGAACGGTTTCGGTTTAAGAACGGACTTCCGCAACGGATTACGTTCATAAACCGAGGTACCACTGTATATGGAAATAATGTCTTGTATCCAACTAATATACACCCAGAGCAGACCCACAGAAATAAAGAGACCTTGGGCATGCCCATTAATTGTTGTAGTTCTCCTCTGAGTATGACTAATATTGGTTATAACCCAAATACAGTTATGAATGTATTTTCATAATGATTATATATACATTATATTGATAGATCTCAAATAGTATACTAAAACACCCGTCCTTTAAATAAAAATGTTTGAAAAGGCCTTATCACTTTTTGGTTTCCCAGAACAAATTATTTCAGCGCTGCCTGCTCCTAGGGGAAATATCTTCCTTGGAGGCATAAAAATTGCAAACAAACTCATTCCCAGCACAGAGTCTTCATTTCAGCCAGTTCTTTTAAAAGCTTCACATTCCTCATGGAATGGACTACATGAACGCTATTTCCATAAAGTATATTTTCTGTATTTGGTCTTCAGTTTCACCTTCCATTGCATATGTTGGGGCAATATCCAAGTGGAATGGGGAAATATCTACTTGAACTGCAATCCTATGCACACATACCTGGAAGTAAAACCTACTGAACTCAATAGTACTTACTTCTGAGGAGGCATGTATGGGATTGCACTGGTAGAAAGGGGTACTGTTGAAAAAGTCTCATTTGGTTCTAAATTAACTTTATATATAAAAAATTGTCCTGAGCCGTTAAAGCTGGGTTTTATCCTTTTAGGTACGGTTCCTTTACATCCTACCTGACTCAGTGTCGGTGCCATGGGCCAGGAGTCCATTTCACCTGCTGAACAGTAGCCTGAAGGGGGAGAAGGTGGAGTGACTCCACCTGCAGCTGATCAGCCTTCAAGGACACAGAGAAAGCACTGATAACCTGCTGGCTTCAGCCTTCTTAAGCAGAACTTCCAGCAGCAGTCAGATGCGGGTAACAACACTGGAAGTTCCTGGCCCTACCTTGCCGCTTCCTTCTCGTCTTAGGCCTTGACCCTTGACCCCATGATCATTGGATTTCCTGACCCCTGAACCATCTGACCACGTGGATTGCTATTCGCCCAAACCTAGGACTGGACCTGACTTCTGCCTCCAGGCAAGTACAGTCGTACCTCCACATATATATCCCTCCGGTTATGTAAACTTTGGGATATGTAAGCGGTAAACCCGGAAGTATATTTCTGGGTTTTTGCCACACGCACATGTGCAGAAGTGCTCTACTGCTGTGCGTGCATGTGCAGAAGCTGTCCCTCCAGTTGTGGAAACCTCAGAATCCAACTGGAGATCCAGAACGGATCCCATCCACAACCGGCGGTACCACTGTACACCTCAGAGATTCTTCTGGTTGGCTGGCTTTCTCCTCCACTGAGCTCTGCACATTGTTGCTCAGCAATGAGACTATGACAGTCAGGAGCTGGAGTCAGGAGCAGGTCAGCAATAAAACACACAGTATCAGTGAAGTTAACTCTTTATTCAAGACACCTCATGCCTAGTGATCACAGCAATTTTTCCCAGTAGGTCTTGCCCCAGTGGGGCGGTTGCCAGGACTGAAGGTTCTGTCCTTTCCAGCACTCTCCATGACTGCTCCCCTGGGTCCTTTCCCAGCAACCTGAGGTTTCTTCGTCTTGTCCTTCTTTGCTCTGCACTCTTCATTCCATGTCTGGTTCTGGGAGATCGGGGGGGGGGGAGCTGGTCGCAGGAGGGGGAGACTCCCTGGCATCTTCAGCAGCCTGCCTGATCTCTGCCTCTTGATCTGCCCTTCTTTCCAGCCTCCACGCCTCTCTGCCTCGGATTCTGGACTGTTCTCTGCCACAGCCACTTCCTGCTCACTAAAACCCTGTTACCTCTTCAGCTTCTGACACCTCCTCCTCCCAGTCTGCTCCCGCTTCTCCCTCTACCACCCATCACCATCCTACCACCAATCCCCCGTCTCTGAGTGTTCCCCACCACCTTACATGCCTTACTTTTTCCCTCTCAGGAGAAGAGGGGGTGTGACATCAGTAAGCCTACTCTATAAATTTAGAACTCCGTGGTCCTTAACCCCTTCACATACTAACTGGCATTGTTAGGTTTGATAGCAAATCTCCCACACATATCCCCTTATGGTCGCCACAAGCACCGTTCTTGTGCTTCTACACTAAGTGGAAGACGGAGAGTGCACACACAACAGGTGGGGTGTAACTATGCTCTAGGACAGTAATGTGAACACACCCTTGAAGAATGATCTGAGAGTAAAAGGGTAAGAAAGAGAGCAGGTTTCCCAAAGAAAATGGGACCTGATTGGGTTTGAAAGCAGAATATATGAGAGAGTGAGGGTTTGGTTTTGAGAGAGAGAGAGAGAGAGAGAGAGAGAAGGGGGAAGGGCTAATAACTTTCCATATGTCTACAAGGCGGTGGTTTTTTTGTGGTTGAGATGAGGGCACCTGTTCAGCAAGTGACAGAGGAGGAGGTGAGGCAGGGAGGAACAGTCACATGTAAAGGAAATCAGGTCTCTTTGGGGACCCCAAGAGCAAAAAGGAACCATTTTATGACTAAGATGGGGCTTTAATGATTAAAAGGAGAGCAAATACTAAGAATCCCATTTTCCTGTTTTATCAAATCTAGGATTAAGAGATTACAGTCTTAGTTAAAGGGTTTGTCTCTTCCTGAGCTAACAAAAGGAAGGTAAAAATTAACAGCCAGTGCAACCATGCCTGTTGGTTACTTCTCAGTTGGAGACTTAGGTAATTTTCTCCCCCTCCCCCCAAGTAATTCCAAAAGGGAGCAGACGAAGCAAAAGAATTAGGCTGGAAACAAACAATGGGCATGCCACAGGGGTGTTTGCTTACCGTGTGGGCAACAGTAAGTGCTCTGCCTGGGTTTTGGTTATGCCTCATGCTTTTCCTAACCCTGCCTGTGGCTGCCATTTCAGCTGCCATTACCTGCACAGGCTATCTGTAATAAGTTGACCTCATATAACACAACAGATACAGCCGTCCTGGATAAAGGTTCAGAAGCCACCCAGAAATGAAAAGACTCTCTTGCTAAACAGCCGAGGGCCAGATGTTGCAATGTAAGTCTTATCATGCCCAAGGTCCACACAGTTATTTCCCTACATAGATACTGTCTTCAGCTACATTCCAAACCACAGCACTGGTCTTTACTTGTTTTACATTTGTAATTCCATATAACTTTATATATGGAATCAGCCCTGCCATTGGAGCTCTTTTCAGTAGGATAAAAGTGCCTAACAACAACAACAACAACAACAGTCAAGCCTGCTGAATCAGGCCAATGGCCTGCCTAGCCTAGAAGCCTGTTCTCACAGTGGCTGACCAGATGCCTATAGGAAGCCTGCAAGCTGGACTTCTGTGCAGCACCACTCTCATGACCTGTGATTACCATAAACTGGTATTCAGAAGTTAACTGTCTTTGACAGTGGAGGAAGGTGATGATGATGATGATGATGATAATAATAATAATAATAATAATAATAGCATAAACTCAGGTGTGTTGCCCTTAGGAAACAACAATTGCATGCTCGTGCAGAGTTGTCTTCTGTGCAGTTGTATAGATATGTATACCTATATTTGCAGACTCATCCAAAAGGTGAAAAGGGCAATTATTCATTTACCAGGTAAATAAAGACAGGCAAACTGCCCTGTTTTCCTGGCCAGATATAGTATGCAACTAGAAACAGATTAAAAGATGATACACCTAGGTATCATCTTTTTTTTTTTAACCGTCTAATGTGACTTTTTAAAGGAACAAACAGTCAACATGAAAAGTAAAATTTCTTGTTTTTTGGGGAGAGAAAGCCAGGTGAGAATAAGGAACAAATGCAGCTGCCTTCTACTGAGTCAGAGCACTGGTTTTCAGTACTGTGTGCCCTGGCTGGCTGTGGTTCTTTGCAGGTTTTGGGCAAGAGCCTTCTCCAGTCCAAACTGGAGATGGCAGGGATTAAATGTGGGATATTTTGGATGCAAAACCAGGGCTTTCCCATGGTTACAGAATTTGCCCCAAATGCAAAGAATTTAAACCTCCAACATACCAAATTATACGTTTCTGCAGTACTGTAATCTGCCCACTCAACAAACTAACTTTTTGCCAGGGACCAGTTTTGAAGTTCAAAGTCAGGGCATAGCTTATGTTCTAAACAACAACAGCAACATTGCCCTGTGTTCTGTTGTTCCTTTTTGAAATACATCAAAATTATCTAGTTGAAAAGAAAAGAAAAATCAAACTCAATTCAACCCGGCTGGTTTCATTTCCACATGACTTGGAGCTTTGAAATAATGCAAGAATACAGAAGGAAGCCATGTGTTGTTCTTGTTTTAGAAGGGGGTGTCTTTTAGCCGCTCTCTTCCTCCCTACAATCATTTGCTTGCTCATGCTGGGCCCAATCCTCACCATTTCTCAGAGAGGAAAGGCCAGATAAGGGAGTAAGAAGCAGCAGTTACCCTCCCATAGCTTGATGGCATGACACTCTTTCTTTTTCTCTCTGCCTTGGTCACAAGTGGAGAGCCAGTAAGAAATGGCAAGAGGAGCAGCAATGGCATTGGGGGCCCTGGCCCTTTTAGGTGTGGGCTTTGACAGGTGTTTGAGGATGACATACAAAGGAGACTGTGCTGTCTTTAGGATATATGGTTTATTTACACATATATACAACCTGAGCCTATGATGGAGGGGTTCACAGCATCAACACCCCAAAAGAGTACTTTTTATCCCATAGCTATAGCCTTGGATTCAAATGTTGCTCTGATTTTTTTTCTCCAGCTTGCTGCTTTACTTCTAGGTCATATCACTACAAACTCTCAACTCCCAACTCTAGTTTTTGCCCTTCTTACTATGTGCAGTTTGAAGGATGGGCCCTGCTCATTTGCTGTCTTCCACAGAGCCCCTTTCCTTTGTTCTCCTTACACCTCACCTGGCTATTAATTTTAACACTTGGTGGATCCAGGGGTTCAGGAAGCTAGCCTGTCTTGATTAGATTTCAACACTTGCTTGGTCCAGGGATTAGAGGGGTCTGGCACCTAGTCTGACAAACACATGCACCAAACTTATAACGAAACATTGATCCCCTCCCACACACATAGCCAACTAGGTTCAGTCAGGTTTTGCAACAATACCAAACCCTGCAAAGCCGGTTTGCTAGCAATGCAAATGAGGTATGTACAATTGACAAGCATCAATCTTTTTAAAACAGCCTTCAGCTCTCTAGGAAAAGCAAACAATCATCTGTTTCCACCTTGGAATTAAAGACCAAGCATCAAGTTTACTGATGAGAAGCAGGAAATCATTTCCCTCTAGAGCAAAGGGGAGCTTATGGCAAAGGAACATCCTAGCTCCAGTTTCCATACAGGTAGCATTTGAGCTATGTTGCCCTGTTGCAGTAAAAATAATCTTATGGCGCCTTAAAGACTAACCATTTTTTATGGCATAAAGTCTTGTGGGTGCTATCCAGAGCACCTGATGCAGTCCACAGAAGCTATGCCAGTGTAGTTTTTTTTATCCTATAAGGTGCTTAAGACTCTTTGTTGCTTCTTGCCCCAATTTCCAGATACTACTGTTTGTACCATGCTTTGTCTCCGAGGCTATGCTACTCACCGTCAGACATCATTGTAGTATGTGTATCTTAAGCAAGAGCTTATAAAACTTTCTCCCCATTGTTGCTTACTAGGTAACCTTTCCACACCTGATTTTGCCAGGAGGCAGTATCATGTTTGGCACTTTTTCATACCTTCAGGATTCACTTTAGCTAATGCTATGGTATTCCCAGCTTTAATTACTATATACTGGAAAATACACATTTGCATCAAACTGAAGTACACTTGAGCTGCTTCTGGAAATCTAGCAGAATCAAGCAGAAGTTTAGCACTCATCTCTGTGTTAATTGCTTCTGGGGGGGGGAACCATTTTCAGCCCCATTAACCTTGAAAAATTGTGGGACAAAATTTGGGGTGGTATCCTGGCATACTGTGCTTTCCCACCATTTCCATAGGCAACCCATGGGGGAACAGAAGCACACATGCGCATACAGGGTGTGTAGTGGTTGGTGACATGTCCAATGACATCCTCTGCTGTGTCACACACCAGCCAGTGATGTGGATGGACCTTAGTATGACATGGGAGCACATCAATTTAAAAAAGCCACAATTCCACAACACAGCAGGTAAAGCAGTGTAAAAGGAACACTGGAAATCAGGGCAGAAGCACCAACATTGTAATCAGAAAAACTAATGCAATAACCCCCACATTGGAATGCATCCTATGTCAAAACAAAACTTATGTCTGGCTTCATTATTACAGAGGGAAATGTAACAGGAAAGGCTTGAATAATGGAAAAACAAGTAATCCCAAAAGACATCAGTTATACACTGATCATAGGTAATTCCCAGTTCTATGCAGGTGCAGAACTTTTGGAGTCTTATATGATCCCCACTGTAATCTCAAAGGGGGGAAGCTGGCTATTGATGGCACTTGGAACATAATGTATAAGGTATTAGGCTTGTGTTGATCTGTTCCAGCTTTGTTTCAGACTCAGTTTTGGCACCACAACAGCCCTGGTCAACCTGATTGATGACCTCTCTTGGGAGACAGATGGTGGAAATGAAACCACCTTGGTTTCTTTTGACCTCTCAATGGCTTTGAGCACTATTGACCATGGTGTTCTTCTAGAGTGACTGGGGGAAGCGGGAGGTGGTTCTGCTCCTACCTGCATGGTTGCTACCAGAAATTAGCACAGCGAAATTGTTGCTTGGCTCCATGGCTTTTTCTGCAGGGATGAGCAATATCCATTTCCATTAGATAAAAATAAATAAAAAGTATATTGCATTCTTGTGCAAGAAAATATCTCAGTGCGTGTACCGTGATCACAGCCTCTGAGGTAACCCCCCCACATGAACTCTATAACCGGGTTGTTGAAATTCAAATGCGACTTCAGCAAGAGGCAATCAGTAAAAAATAAGCAAATATGCATGAGGGACAGCTCAGTTGGAAAGGGCCACAGGAAACAAAATAGCTAGGCAGAGCTGAAACGAGGAGCAAATTGAAGTCATGGTGTGCTGTTAGAGGACACCCACTGAAACATCACAAACTGGATACCCATAGTTCCACGTCCCACCCAAAAACCTACACTAATGAGCTTCCACACTAGCAGTGGCGGCAGATGTGTGTCATTTTTTACTTTTGTAAACCGCTTTGTTTTCTAAAATCAAGCCCTTTGTGAATGTTAGGAAATAAATAAATACTTGGTATACACCCTACCCTTAAAGCACATTCCCTCCCTCCCTCTAGAGAATCCTAGGAACTGTTTGTTGTTGTTGTTGTTTTTAAGACTGCTGAGCGTTTAACTCTGTGTGGAAGGTTAACTACAGTTCCGTGGGGGGAGGGGAGAGACGGATGATGAGCTCTGAATGTGCTATGAATGATGGTCTGGTGTGTGGATTTTCCGTGGTAAGAGCAAATGCGGAATAAATGTTTTTTTTAAAAACGTAGTAAAGGCTGGCATTTTAATGAAGGTGTTGTTGTTGTGGACTCTACAATAACCGCAGCAACCTTGCTTGCCTGAGCAGCACGCAGCTTTCTGAAAACGATTTCCATCTGCAGTGGTGCGATTTGTTGCAGCTCTTTTCGGCCATCGTTACTGCTCCAACCTTGACTTTCCAGGAAGAGCCGTGAGTAATGCTCGTTCCCGCACCGCGCGCGCACACCCCTCCCCTCCGGCGGCGAGAAGACGGGAGGGCTCAGGTCCTCGCGAAAGGTTAGCAAGCGCAGGATTGATCCCCACTCCAGCCTCTGAAAACCAGCAAAGGACTCGAGGCAAGCGGGGAGACACGACAAAGTTAGTGGCACGCATGAAACCTGATCTATTCATCTCACAACTAAATCAATACTTGATGGGAATTCCAGGATATCACATCCAAACCCCGCCAAGCGCGGTCCACTTTCGGTAAAGACCTCTCTCCCCGCCTCCTCCGCCCACCTTCCACTTTCCAGCAGTGACGTCTCGGCGTACGCGCAGCACCGAGGGCTGCGAGGCTCCGCCCGGCCTCCTCTTCTTCTGGCTCACTGCAGCTGCCCGGGTCCTAGGGCGCATCGTCTTCTTGCTGCGCTTGGCATCAGCAAGGGCACAGGCCGGCTCTGCAACGCCCTGGCGGGAGAACAGCCGCCTGCAAGCGGTGCCGCCGTGCTGGAGAGAGCGGGCCAAGCCGAAACGCAGAGGCGAGAAAACAAAACGAAAAGAACGCGTGTTTCTGCACGTGTCGTGCAGCTGAGACGAAGTCTATGGAACATAGGTGGAAAAAACGAGGGAGAGAGGAGACTAGCTCCCGTTTGCCTTGCTACGCTGTCCTAGAAAAGATGTGGATTACTCGGGTCTAGCATATTTAATGCTGTACTGTTTTTAACATTTAATTGGGAGCCGCCCAGAGTGGCTGGGGAAACTCAGCCAGATGGGCGGGGTATAAATAATAAATTATTATTATTATTATTATTATTATTATTATTATTATTATATCTCTGTCTATGGATGACCAGACCAGGGCTTTCCGCTAAGTGGCCTTCGTCAAGCTGGCACCCTTCAGATGATGTTGGACTTAAGCTCCCATTAGTACCAGCCAGCGTGGCAGGCGGCCTGGAACAATTTGAGTTGGGGCCGATTAAATGTCCGAAGGGCACCAGAATCGGGGAGGCCGATTTCGACAGAGCTATAAGATTCCTAAGCTTGGCTCAAGGCCTGAGGTGGGAGGGCAGGGTGGAGGTGTATACTTCTAAATCCTAGTACCGCATTCTGCACACCTTCTACCACAAGCATTGCTGTCTTCCTTTTCTGCTTGGTAAAATCCTCTTACACTACACAAACTCACACACCCCTTTTGCATCTGTTGAGTTTCTGCCAGTGCCAGTAGGTGTCATTTGCAGGAAAAAGGAGGAAATCTTACAGAACACTGCTAAACAATTCCCCTGCCGCTCAATTTTGCCCTTCCCTTGTCTAGAAGATCTACCCTGTCCAAACATCTCTCTCTCTATGTGTTCTTACTTTACAGTGAAGATGTTAGACAACACCTGAAGAAGAGTCTTCCGTGTTGTTTGATGATGAGCTGGCAACCAGGGACCAAATTCAACCTTGTAGCTCAAACGCAAAATGTCCCCTGCTCTGGATCCATACAGTTGGCTTCTTGTTGTTGTTTGACATAGAGATGGGATCTGGCAATTTTTAGTTCTCATCAACTCTGGTGCCATAATGTTTTATGGCAAGTCTGAGTCAATCCTTACCTTCCCCTTTGTGGCTTATTTCCCCCTGCTAATCAACTCATTATCTCTTGAGACCCGCTGCAGGACAGAAAAGCAGAACGTGAATAGCAATAATATATAAATACACAAAAACATTGACTGATTTGTGCAATCCATGCTATTTTGCCATTTGGTTGCACATTTGGTTGCATATGTGCCAACTAAACTGGGTTTAGTTCAGGGTATCCAGTATAAGATTTATCACTTCAAAAAGGATGCCATGGTGTGTATTATTCCATAAATTTCCTATACTGTAGTATTCATTGGTGCTTGAACTTCCTACCTGGGAATGCTAATATTCATTTTCCATTTTGCTTTTGAGTGCCTTCTTCAGGCAGTGATAGATGAATGCATATTTGTACATACTATCTTTTATCTCATTATAACTTCAGATTGTTTTATCTAATCTCTTTGGGAACTTTCAGCTTTAAGCAATCCTAACCCCACTTAACTCGGAGTGAGCCCCATTGAAGTCAGTAGGACTTACTTCTGAGTAGAAATGGTTAGGAACATGCTAGTTATTTTGCTGCTTAAAATCTCTTATCCTTCATATTTGCTGAAGGGTCTCCATCTGTGAAGATGTTCCCCCCACCTGTATTTCAGGTCACATTTTTACATTACTGCACACACTGGATGCATATGGATTGTGGCTAATGCCATGTGTACTTGGCTTCAAACACCACTGGAGCTGGAGTAAATGGTAATATATACACAGCCTCCGTTTATAGGATGAGAAAATCACTAGAAGTTCATTCTGAGTCAGTTAACCTCTAGGGTTGTTTATTCTAGAGCTTTCTAGTTTTTTTGTCACTCAAACAATGATTGATTGTAGAAAAATTCTATTAACCACACTGGGTCTGGCATCATTAGATAATTTCTCAAGATATACACTGATAAGAATCTTTACAAATGCCTCCTCTTTAACCCATCTGTTTAAGAAAGTGGTGTTGTGTAACAATTGCACAAACATGCTCACTATTTAAAATGTGCAAGCTGTTAGTAATAAAGGCAGAAGAACTGCTAGGGTATGACTCTCAGCCAAGGGAGAATGGGGCCCCTGCTCTGCTGGGTGTTAGTGGGCAGAGGTTTAGCTTTTCAACTTTGAATGAGGTAGGTTAGGGGGAGGTCCTAGGAGCAAAATGACAGGCTTGAACAAAGAGACACAGAAGATGCCCCACCCCCTTTTTTCTGTCCTTTTAATCTAATGCTGCTCCTTTGGTGGAAGCCAGACCTTCATAGCTAGGGAGCTCAGGGTGGTGCAGGTACGTTGCTTTTTCAAGCAGCGCAGAGTCTGCCCACTGCATCTCCCTCAACTGCAGAGTGGCTGAGGGGGAGGCCTGGCTACACTGCTGTTTCGGGCAGCATGGAGCCTGCAGGAGCCTGAGCCACCCCATAGCTCCCAGGAAAGATGCATGGCTCTGGCGCAGTAAGTGCCACCCCCTGCAGTGTGGCACCCAGTGCCCCCCACCCCCCTAGCTACCACTCTGCCCTCCATCTAGGTGCAGATTGTAGACCAGATCCAGGGGCTTTGGGAAGAAACTGATTTTCTGGATCCATTTCAATCGGGGTTTAGGCTGGTTTTGGCACAGAAACTGCTTTGGTCGCCCTGTAAGATGACCTCTGTCAAGAGAGAGACAAGGGAAACATGTCCCTGTTAGTTCTTCTCGACCTCTCAACGGCTTTCGATACCATCAACCATGGTATCCTTCTGGAGTGAATGTCCAGTGGTTCCAGTCCTGCTTGGATGGTTGTTCCCAGAGGCTGTTGCTTGGGGAATGCTTTTCAGCCCTGTGGAACCTTCAGTGTGGGGTTATGCAGGGTTCAATCCTATCCTGTATGTTGTTTAACATCTACACGAAACCACTGGGTGGGGTTATCATCCAGAGGTTTGGAGTACATCAGCTGATGACAATCAGCTCTGTTTCGCCTTTGCATCTGCAGGTGAGGCAATGGAAGTGCTGGACCAGTGTTTTGCCTCGGTAATGGACTGGATGAGAGCCAACAAACTGAAACTCAATCCAGATGAGACGGAGGCACTGTTGGTGGGTGGTTCCCTAGACCAGATGAGTGGGAGATCGCCTGCTGTTGATGGGGTTGCACTTCCTCTGAAGGAGCAGGCTCATAGCTTGGGGGTACTCCTGGATCCTCTGCTGTCTCACGAGGTTCAGATGGCGCAGTGGCCCAGCTACACCCCATCTGGGCACGGATAGCCTAACTACTGTTGTCTATGCTCTGGTAAGCTCAAGGTTAGATTGCTGCAGTGTGTTATACATAGGGCTGCCTCTGAAGACAGTTCGGAATTCAGCAGCCAGGTTGCTCATCAGAGCAGAACACTTTGAGCCTATTACACTGAACCTGGTCCGACTGCACTGGCTACCAATTAGTTTCTGGGCCCAATTCGAAGTGCTGGTTTTGACCTGTGAAGCCTTGGGACGGCAATACTTCAAGGACTGCCTCTTTCCTTATGAACCTACTCTGAGATCATCTTCTGGGGCCCTTCTACGTGTGCCTCCTCCTGGAGAGGTTCGGAGGGTGGCAACACGAGAAAGGGACTCCAGCAACAGCAATTGCAGAACAATACGTCACTTAAAAAAAAACCACACACACACACAAGGGGTTGGACAGACCGAAAACGTAGCGAAGGCTGAGGAAACTTCAGTGCGCCTGCGCTGGGCAACCCCCCGGCGCTTGCGCACTGGCTCGGCGGAGCTGCCTTCCTCACTCAGCCGTCGGCCAGAGGAGCGGAGGGGTTCAGTGGGTCCGTCGCCATCCTGCGTGGGCGGGAGAGGACCTCGACTCCCCTTGGGGTCTGAGCCTGGAAAGCCCCGCGTTTCTCCCCCACCCTCCTTGCTCTGGCTGGAGAGGAAAGTATGTGCGGCAGAGAGTGAGGAAGGGCAGCCGCAGCAGCAGCGCGGAACCCCTTTCGCCCAAGGAGGCGCCCATGGAAGCGGTGAGTACGTCGAGGGGCGCAGGGCGAGAAAGGAGCCCTCTTTTCCTCCTACCCCGGGGCGCTGCGGGGTGAATGGCGTCCGTCCCCCCCCCCGGGGGTGACTCTTCTTTTGCCATCTTAGAAGCCTGGCCCGCCCAGCTTGGGGGTCGCGCTTGCCCGTTTTGCGGGACAGGGCTCGGGGTCTCCTGCCCACAAAGCTCCCCCCCCCGCCCCCGCGGTGCTTTTCCAAGGGTGGGGACTCAGTGCAAGAGGCGGGACCGCCTTGGGAAGGGGAAACCCGCCAGCCAGCCTCCCTCCCTCCGGGGAGTGGGGCAATGGCCGGAGCTCCCGGGAAGGGCTGCTGCTTTGGACGGTGCTTTCGATCCCCGGCGCCCTACAGGCAGGACTGGGGAAATTGAAACCCTCGAGAACTGCTGCTGCTGCTGCTGCCGGCCAGAGTAGGCGGCACCAGGCTCGGTGGGGGTTGGTGGTGGCCCGACTAAGTGGTAGGCGGCTTCGTGGGGGGGGGGTCACGCAGAAGCCAAGAAATTCGGCTGTTGCTCACCCCCAAATAAAAGAGATGGGGGGGGTGACGGGTGGACTTGTTGCTGGGGATGTGTACGAGACCAGAGGTTTGCAGAAAAAAGAGAAGAGCGAGAGGAGAAGCAAACCCGCTTCCTTCCCTTCTGCATACATAGCCAGCTCGCGTGTACAAGTCGTCGTTGCGCTTTGGTAACAAACATCCAGAAGTGGAGATGGCTGACATCCTGTTTATAATCGCACCAGAGGTGGTCTGTGTTCTTGAGACAGCTTGGTGTTAATAGTGAGGGGGGGGTGTGTTTGCTCAGTTCTCGATAACCAGATGACCCCGTCCACACACAGTCTACCATATGGTTTCTTTAAAACCAGAAAAGAACTTGCAGCTGTTGCCGATCGCTGGGTTTTGTATGTTGAACTACAGAATTCGAAAAAGGGCACTAATAGTCCTAATCTTGAATCATGGCACGGCTTCTGAAGAAAGCTGTAGCATCAGGAAGTTCCCTGTTTACTGTTTTGAGTTTTGCTTGGGGGAGGGCCAGAGAAATGAAGCTGTCCTTCTAGGACAAATGGTGTGGGAAGGGGAGGAAAGAGGAACTGACACGGGCACAATTAGCAATGTTGCATAAGGACATTGACTTCGTGTGAAAGAACAGTTCTGTGTCATAGAGAAAAATAGTAGCAGTTGTTTTGCTAAATGTACTTTTAAGAAGCCTATTTTGAACTGCTCAATCTACTGTGCTTTAGGGTATACATCTTAGTCTTCAGATTTTAGGAGTGGTAAAGTAGCAATATGAGTAAAGAATGAGCTTGATGAACTTGCACCAGGTGAAACTTACTTTCACCAGGTGAAAAATGTGTTGCTGTTAATCAGCACTGATACTGGCTAAAATGTGACCAAAGCACAAACTGTTAGGCTCTTTAGAGTGGTAGAGCCAGTTGTTACAATGTTACAGTTTATAGTTTTGACAAAGTGAAGAAATATGGATGTGGATGAAATTACCATAATAAAGTTAGGTAGTACCACTTTGTGCAATGGAAAACAGAATTTGAAATCATCTCTCCCCCTTCCCCATACTAATGAGCTCAGTATTTGGTCATCTTAGAAATACCTGAAATGGACTGTGCATTTCCACCTATTTTATATTCATGCATGTCACTGGGCATTTAGGATACTACGGAGCAAGCATTCATGCAATTGTGTTTGTAAGTCCCACTGGGTAGTGGTATTTCTTCCTGATGAGAGAGACAGACACATATTATGGGACTGCAGTCTTTTAAGCAGGCTGCTTGGCTTGTCAGGTGCAGAGATCAGGGGTTTAAAAGGAACTGTATTATGCTTTGGGTTTATTATTATTATATTTAAAATATTATTATGTACCTATAAGTCTTCAAGGTGGGATGAATGAAGAATCTAAATGTAACTTGCCTGAAGCCCTTCTCTTCATAGGCAATAAGATTTATGGGGTAAGAGCATCAGTCTATTTCCCTTTAAAATTAAACAGTTGCATGTTAGCTACAAGAGTTGTTGGTAACTATGACTGCAGACAGTCCTAAACATGCTTACCTGTAAGTCCCATTAAGCTCCATTCATTCCTATGCTTGTTTACTTGGAATTTGATGTCAAAATACTTTTTTGTTTTTTGTGTTGTAGATTGCTGCCAAAAACACATTTCTTGTGAATTACCTAATTGTTGAAGCATGTGTAAGCAGTTTTTAAAAAACGACTCTTGATTTTAAAATATATGAATTGCAGTGTGGGCATCAGCGTATACACTTTGCCCACACATGGAGAAAAGTAATGCATTTCTTTCTTTTCTTTTTTTAAAGTGTACAGGAAACCACACCTTTTTAGCTGAAGCTGTTGCAGGTGTTATAGCAATGCAGGAGCCATGGTAGATCTCTGATGCTAAGTGGATTTGCGTGTGTGAAAGACTGCGTGTGAAAGTGTCCTATCTTGAATACTTGAAGGGACCAGAGGAGCCTATTATAATGAGTACTTGTGCAGTGATAGACTAGAATAGGGTCTCATGAAAAAGATGAAACTGCTTAGGAATTTTCTTTGAATGTTTATGTTACATAAATTGCCCAGATAAATAATTCTACATTAGCTTATCTTCTATGTATTTTTATACAGCAGTTCAGCCTTCTCAGGACTGTGCATGTCTTCTTCTTTTGCTTCATACACTGATTTGTGTTGGGGGTTCTGATATAAAAACCCCCATTAGTAAGCAAGTACCTTATACCATGGGACGCGGGTGGCACTGTGGGTTAAACCACAGAGCCTAGGGCTTGCTGATCAGAAGGTCAGCAGTTCGAATCCCCATGACGGGGTGAGCTCCCACTGCTCAGTCCCCACTCCTGCCAACCTGGCAGTTCGAAAGCACATCAAAGTCCAAGTAGATAAATAGGTACTGCTCCGGCGGGAAGGTAATCGGCATTTCCGTGCGCAGCTCTGGTTCGCCAGAAGCAGCTTAGTCCTGCTGGCCACATGACCCAGAAGCTGTATGCTGGCTCCCTCGGCCAGTAAAGCAAGATGAGCGCCGCAATCCCAGAGTCGGCCACGACTGGCCGTAATGGTCAGGGGTCCCTTTATCTTTACCTTATACCATGGATATATTTCTACATGGATATATTTCTATCAGCAAAAAATAAGGTGCTTCACGGGTACTTTAAGTAACTTTTTTTAGTGGTGAGACAAATTCAGGAATGCAGGGCATACATGTACCCCAAATGCTTCTGCCAGTAGGTCTTTCTCTAGATCTCATCATGTTATAGGGCGGGGGGGGGTGAGAAGGGAAGGGAAGACTGTACAGTGGTACCTCGGGTTACATACGCTTCAGGTTACAGACTCCGCTAACCCAGAAATAGTACCTTGGGTTAAGAACTTTGCTTCAAGATGAGAACAGAGATCGTGCTCTGGCAGCATGGCGGCAGCAGGAGGCCCCATTAGCTAAAGTGGTGCTTCAGGTTAAGAACAGACCTCCGATAGGAATTAAGTACTTAACCCGAGGTACCACTGTACTTGTACCCAGAGCTGCACCAGCTGAATTGGAATTACGTAGAGTGCATCAGTGTGTGGCTAAACAAGACCTTTTGAGCAAATATGATTATGATTTTCTGTAAAATACTGTTTTAAAATAGGCACCTGTATTAAGGCAGACTTTACGCTTGTTCTTCATTATTGCACATGTGTGTGTGACTGTGTGTGTATGTGTGCATGCCATTGCATCTCTTCACCTAAACATTTTGCTAATATTTATGTGTGGAGAGGGGGATGCAATTTCCTTTAGAAATGATGAACTCCTTCATGATCTTGGACCATATCTATATATAATTCTTTCTCAAAGGCCTCATACATGCACCCTTTGGGGGGGGAGTGGGTCATGTTACATTAAATATAATCAGCTTTTCTCCCTACATGTATTTTAGCAAATTCAGCATTTCTTCAGAGAAATAAAATCAAACCCCATCATTCAAAGGGGAAGTAGAAGCCAACTGGTGAAAAGTAGTGGTTAGGATGAGGAGAAACAAAACTAAACAAAATAAACAGTTCTCTAACATCTGCATGTGGGTGAGGGAACAGGGTTAGCTACATCCCTAAAATATATCTGATGAGAGAGAGAGAATGAATTTTTCACTTGATGCCCTGAGAAGGTCTTCTTTTCCTTCTTAGGCAGTACAGAACTAGTTGGCTGTTGCATTTTGACACCTTTCAGGCCCCCATTTTCTTGATTTGCCCCATACCTTGCTATAAATTATGTGTGTGGGGCAGAGGAAGGATTCTCCTCCCTAGTCAGAAGAAATGCCTGGCCAATAGAATGTGGCTACCTTAGATAAGGATCCTAGAGGTACAGATATTTGAATAGACTGATCTTAAGGTTAGAACAGATCTGCTGAATTCTAGAGTAGCTCTGACTCATGTGTCTCCTTATGTGTCACTCCAAAAAGACTCCATGTACTATGAAGGGCTGCTTTCCTTTTCCCACACTTCCTGGAAACAGGAAATCAGGGGTAGGAAACCTGTGGCTCTCTGGAAGTGGTTGGACTGCAAGTCTCATAATTCCTGGCCATGCTGGCTGGGGCTGACGGGATCTGGTGTTCAGCAACATCTGGAAGATCACAGGTTCTCTGTCACTGATTTAAATCATGGTTACTTTAACAATAAAACTATTGTAGTTGTAGTTCTTTGAGGCTTATGGTCTATAGTGCAATCTAATATTTCTCCCTCATAAAGTTGGTCAAATGCATATCTTTGTGTGAAAACTAAACGGTAAATGTGATTCTATAGCAATAGCTGATCAGTAAAGTGGTGTTGGTGTTTTTTTTTAAAATAAGCACAGAACATTTTTGAACTCTTTTGTACTATGACTGAATACCGTATTTTTCCGTGTATAAGACTAGGGCTTTTTTCCTTTTAAAAAAATGTCAAAAATTTGGGGGCATCTTCTACACGGATACATCTCTCCCCATTTTCTTAAATTGGAGTCCCCAAAAATAGGGGGCGTCTTATACATGGGGGCATCTTATAGACGGAAAAATATGGTAAGTACTGAAAGCAATCTAGATAAAGCTGTTATTCTTTTCAAATGCTCTGATTGTATTTATAATTGGTGTATTTTGTGCTAGGTACCTCATCTGATCATAAAATGAGCTGCTGATTGTGCTGTCAGTCTGTGCTGCCAACCATAGAGCCACTTCATATTTCACTTGTTGCTGACCTGTACTACTGTGCTATGACTAGTGGAAAGGAAGACTATGATTGACAAGGGAAAAGCCAGCATTTGATCAGATAGGATCCTGGGGCTTACCAGACCCAACACTTAGCCAGATGATTAGTGCATTGGAATAGTTTTCGGAGGTAATTGAAAAGGATCCTTGCATTCCTGATCGCTGGTCCTGCTAGCTAGGGATTTTGGGAGTTGTAGTCCAACAACAGATGGGGACCCAAGTTTGAGAAACCCTGCCCTAGCTGTATAGCTGGCTCCCTCCTTATTGAATTTTAAGTGTGCTGTGTAAAAAAACAACACAACACCTTTTAAATTAGGCCTCTGTGACAAAGTGATTCTGTCTGGCCTTCAGTGTTTTTTATGTTTGTGAGTTTTTTTTTTTTTTAAAATGTGGTTTTAATGCTTGTATTGATAATGGGCAGGCTTCTGTTGTTTTAATTGTGAGCTACTTTGAAAGAACCCCAGTCCTGAAAAGTGGCATAAAAGTCTTGTAATAAAAATTATCTGCTCTTGGTGCCCTTTGGTTAGAAGAGTAGGGTGCAAAAAATAATTTTTTGGTTTATTTATGTGCTGCCTTCCCCAAATCTGAAACACTTCTTAAAAATTGGTTGGGAAGATGAGTTGCAGCTATTCAGATTTACTAAGAAGTATTTGGGTAACAAGATAAAGATTCAGTTGTGAAGGAACTGGTTTCCCTTCCTGTCCACGGAAGTTAACAGTGGAATCCTTTAATGTTTTCCTCCATTAATATCCTTAAAAGAACTGTGATTTTAGTGGCTGTCCTTGCAATCTTCTTCCAATAGTGAAATAGCTCCATTAGCAGTACATAGATATTATAATGCTGTAAATTTTTCATGTTGGCCATAGATTTCTGTAAACACTACCTAATGCCCTAAAGCTGCCTTCCAACATTAATATTTTAAGAGTAATTTTAAATTCTGGATTACATGTCATACTATTTTCAGTAGCTAAATTAAGCTACTGCTTACGGGCAAACAATTGCCATTATAATATTAAGTTCTTAATGTCTAACACATCTACTGCTTCAAGTAGAGGAATAATTATTCATCAGTATATCCAGTATATTACGTGCTTTTTCACACCATCCAAGGTTATTGGTCTTGCTTTAAGACAGCCTGTCTCAACCTGTGGGTCCCCAGATGTTGTTCAACTACAATTCCCATCACCCCTAGCTAGCAAGGCCAGAGCTCAGGGATGATGGGAGTTGTAGTCCAACAACATCTGGGGACCCACAGGTTGAGAACCGCTTGGAAGTCGAACGGAATCCATTCCGGAAGTCCGTTTGACTTCCAAAACATTTGGAAACCAAAGCGCAGCTTCCGATTGGCTGCAGGAAACTCCTGCAGCCAATCGGAACCCCCGGAACCCGATCAGACATTCACAAACCAGAACACTCACTTCTGGGTTTGCAGCGTTCGGGAGCCAAGACTCGCAAGGCGTTCGACTTCCGAGGTATATGGAGCCAGGCCCAAAATACTTTACAGTTGTCACTTGCTTTTAAATATACTTAGCCAACGAATATATATTAATAGAACACCATAGAGCAGGGGTTCCCAAAGTGCAGTCAGCTTTGTCCCTGTGGTCTACAGCATGGACCACAGAATTAAAAATTGTAAAGCACCTAACACAGTGCATTACAATTGCTACAACAGCAGGAAAATCATTACGCAGCCCATCAAAACCCTCAGTAATATTCAAGCGGTCTGTGGCCAGTCTGGAGTACGGGGTGGGCAGTTTGGGGACCATTGCCATAGAGAGCAGACAACAACAAGCCAAAGATGCAGTGAGGTTCCACCTCCACCTTACACAAATCCCTGCAGCAGGTGGTGGAAGAAACTGCTCTTTGCACCCTGGCATGATTCTCCCAAAGCAGTAGAAATGCTCGTGAGCATACAAGGTATTGTTTGTGTGGATCGTAAGTGTGGATTTCTGTTCTTTTCTTCTCCCATGATACAACTGTATTAAGTGTCTAGCTAAATGGTGTCATTTGTTGGATACGGAGTACTCAGCAACCAAGGTGAATATTGTGGATGACTATGTCCCACTGACTAGATTGTTGCTGAAGAGCTGCTTTTTAAAAATAAAAAATTAAAAAATCCTACTGAATACAAGAATATGAGGACAGCTTTGCAGTAAGTACTTATTGACTGGGCATTGATTGTTTTGGCCCCTAGAAGATTATTGCAAAAGAATTGCACTCACTACTTTCTGTATTCCTGGAATAGTTGCTATAATTGGAGACCAGAGTTAAGGGTTAAGTGTAGCATGAAAGCAGTTCTCAAAAGCAATAGTTTTGACTTGAGTTGAGGTTTTCGGGAAAGCTGTAGCTTTTATTTTTCATCTTTAAATCTGTATTCTTCCTTGATAGTAGTTCTCACAAATGTTTCCGTGGTTGTGGTATAATCAATTTTCAAATGTATTGTTCCTCTATTAAGTTATTATTAAAAAACAAGGCATTTCCAATGAGTGTCTAGATTCTGTAGTCTTCAGGAGAAATTAATTTTGCTGTGAGACCCTATGGAGTGGAATACTAGGATGTTCTAAAGGGGGTGTGGACTCAAAATGGTCCTACAGAGCTGGCAGCCTTTCACACTTTTATAGCACCTTCCATTGTGGAGTGTTCCCTCAGCCTCCTCTCCTCCCTGGAGGCCTACAGACAGCCACAGCTGCTGCCCTGGTCTCTGAGCTCCCTCCTCTGCCCCAAAGAGAGGTGCCTCTTTACACTGCCCCACAGCGGCCTAGGAAGCATCCCTGGTCAGCCCCAGAGGCACCATTTGCCTGGGAAGCTTGTAGCCAGAGCTGCTGCATCAAACAGCTGTGCAATCCTTTGGGAGGCAGAGACGTGAGGAGGAAGGAAAGAGGGACAGAGGCCAGTGTTGCCCATGTCACCCCTGACCATCATTGAAGGCACCCCAGGGTGCCACGGCACATTGGTTGAAAACCACTGGGCTACACCATTTGTCCCAGGCCACACCCTTGCCAATCCTTCTTTACATTCTCAACTACTTTTGCCTATGATTGAAATGTAGCCATTGCTCCACCTACTGATCCCACCACTTCTTAAATGTTGTTGTCCATGAGGACATGTGGCTCTCCAATGGAAAAAAGATTCCTTGCTGTTGTAAAATGATAACATGGGATGTTTGGAACATCAGTAGACATGGATGAGAGTTTTTAAAAAGTTGGCTTTGCCTCTGTATTTTAGCTATATTATAGACAGAATGGAAATCTCTCTCTCCCCACCTCAAATATATAGCCACTCTAGTTTAGAACATTTAGATGATTAAAGTATCGTATTTTTAGAGCATTCCTAAAACCCTGTTCTGGTAAACTGAAAATTATCTTTGGCATTATTTTCCTGTAGCCTAAAATTTCAGGATTTGATACTATTTTCTGTTCTCTTGTTCAGGGTTGAATAAATTCTGGATTATCTTGAAGTCACATCTATTTAGCTGGCTTGGAAGTTCAAACAGCCATATAAATGCCGGTATGTATTTTAATGTAATTACAGTGTTAGCAAATTTAAGACCAAACCACACACCATTTCCTAAAAAATCAGTTTAGTCCTTGTTTCCTGCCAGTCAATAGTATATGTGGTATTGTGGCAACTTAAAGATTCAATTTGTTATAGTATAAGAATTGGTTAGCCCACTTTGTCAGTTGCTCAAAGTGGTACTTAGGTGGATAGGCATGTATGTCCTGAGTACAGAGAGAAAGGATTTTTTTCTTCTTCAACAAAGTGAGATCACAAAGTCAAGCAGGAAACAATAGTGTGTGTCTCAATGCTATGCAGAGCACAAATGAATCCAGAATCCAGTTAGATTGATGCAACAACTCGTCCGCATGGGTGACCCCTTCTGAATTAGGAAGCCACTGGTGATACAGAGGTGGATCTGTTAATTTCTGTGGCGACTGACAGTCCCAGAACTTGCTGAGTCCAAATTCAGCAGTATCAAATTTGTGGTGGTGTACTCCTTTTACTGTTGAAATACTATCTTGGTATTTATATCATTAGGAGTGTGTGTGCTGTTAGTAGTGGCTTGCGCCATGTGAGAGGGCATCTAAGTGGATGGTCCTGCAAACATAGAACCAGAATCAGAGCTTGAGAGGGTGTAGAGCAGAGGAGAAGCTACCATTTGACTTGCTCACTAGCAGCATTCTAAAATTGGCCCCTCTCCATTGATCAAGACCTGTACATTGGTCTTGGATCTATCAATAGCTGGAGCCACCTGTACAGCATTCAGCCCACTCGCTACCCTGCACCCCTGAATTGCCCATAGCTGGCTGCTGCAGTGAGATATCTGGTATGTGCCACCCACCTTTGGAGGAAAGCACTATTTAAGTTTTAAAAACACTTTATAGAAATATGTACAGTGTCTACACACAGGAAACGGCATTAAGCCATCCATTTCACTAAGCAGGTGAAAGAGCAAAAGCAGTTCCAGATAAGATGACTTGCTGTGACAGTGCACTGAAACTTTTTTTATCCCAGGCCCCAAACAGAATAGCTGATGTTAATTGCAATTACAGTGGTACCTCGGGTTACATACGCTTCAGGTTACATACGCTTCAGGTTACAGACTCCGCTAACCCAGAAATGGTGCTTCAGGTTAAGAACTTTGCTGCAGGACAAGAACAGAAATCGTGCTCTGGCAGCACGGCAGCAGCAGGAGGCCCCATTAGCTAAAGTGGTGCTTCAGGTTAAGAACAGTTTCAGGTTAAGAATGGACCTCCGGAATGAATTAAATACTTAACCCAAGGTACCCCTGTAAAATCAAGAAACTAATATTGACTGTCAGTCCCAGCCAAAATTGTTTGTGCCTTAAAAGCTGGATAGGATTCTTCATTAGCACCTCATTGTTGCAAGAAAACTGTGTATCCAAAATTGACCATAGTTACTAGAGTCTTTATTTTTAATAGTATTTTCTGGAGTTTTTTCTCACATTGATGCCTATCCCCAGATGCCTACACAACCTTAGCTGCAAGACAAGAAGAAAACGGAAGTACAATCTAACTCTTCTGTGTACTGTTCTCTGGTTCTTCCCCTTTCATGTACCTGTATATAGTTTTTTAATGTAAGAGAAGACTGCAAAGCCATGGCTTTCTGTGCCAAACTGAGAAGTTCCAGGAAAAATGAAGTGAACACAGAAGCTCAAGAACCAGGCCTGGAAGTAGCATTCTATTTGCAAGAGAAGCCTTCTCTTAGGTATACGTCTGGCAGGTATACAGCAGAAGACCTCTGCATTGAATCTGCCCGGAAATGCTGTGAGTTTTAGTTGTCTTCTATACTACTGTTTAACCTGAATGCCAATGCAGTTAGCTTGGTGTGCTGTAGCCTAGTGTCTGCCGAAATTTCCCAAACACGTTTTTCAGCTCCCACCTTTTTAAACTTGTTTGTGGGCCTTTGGAACACTCTTTCCCTGTAGGTGATTCTTTTGAGAAAACTAGAGTTTCTTTTCCCTTAATGGATTTAGAGTTGGCCAAGAATTCATGGCTTCACTGTGTTATCCAGTGAAAGATTGGGCCCTCCAGGATGCTGCCGCAAAAATAATCATAATATTTATGAAGCTTAGTAGCTTTATAAAAGCTTTTCAGTGTGACTTACAAATATACAATGCAACATATAAAAAACAAAATAAGTAAATATGAAGCACAATATGAGGCAATCAAACCATGAACACAATCCCTCCAGTCCTTAGCCTTGGTTTAAACTACGACAGACAGTCCCAAAAAGAAGATACCACCAGTCGCCAACACTCAAACTCATTCTATTCCATTCTCAACTACCTTTTCTGGTTTAAATAGAATAATTTTCTGATATTTTTTTTTAAAAAAATATTCCTTTAGATATTGTATTAGCTTCCCCGCCCCCCCTTTTCATTCATAATTATTAGTTTAACAAATTCTCAGTTTAGCCTCTGCTTATGTGGACACCATGTATAAATGTGACCCACTAAGTCCTCCTTAATATGTCCTGTTCCCTAATATGTCCTCTTCCGTCTTAGCAAGGTGTGCACTGGTCACAATATTCGGTTTGTACCTTGCTTTGGAAAAGAGCAGCATTCGATCTGAAGTGAATCTGAGGCTGTCAGATATGGTTTAGGGTGCAGACCTGTATCCTGATACTGAAGAACAAAGCATCATCCTCCCACACTCGCTGTTATGGATATAATTTTTTTAAGTCCCTTTGACAGAAGTACAGTAGATGGATTTTTCCCTGTGCAGACCAATATCCACCAAATTAAGGGGTTTTGTCCTAGATACCCTACTCCCCCCAACAAAAAAAAGGAACAGGCAATAACTTTGCTATATTTTGGTTGAATTGAGTGATATTTGTAGGCATGGTAGTTCCTTCTGAGGGGATGCATCTTGTCAAATTTAAGAAGGGTAGTTGCAGTGGCATAATAATAATAATAATAATAATAATAATAATAATAATAATTTATTTATACCCCACCCATCTGGCTGGGTGGCTTTCAACAGAATATTAAAATACAATAGTCTATTAAAAATTAAGAGCTTCCTTAAACAAGGCTGCCTTCATAAGGATGGTTTAATATCTTCTCTGTTCTTCTATTGACAACTTATGTCAAAACAGTTCCCACTTCTCTCATGATTGCTAACATGCAAACAGGGCTGAAGTTTCTGTATTTGTTTTATCCAACTTTGTCCTCACAAGTGTCTAGTACTGTGTAACCCCCCCTCCCCCAGATTGGCACACAGTGCTGACTGGCTGCTATTCACATGCAATGTGCCCTTTAGTTCTAGGTGTCTTGTGCTTTGCTCAGTTCCCTATCACCTCTTTCTTTTTAAGTACTTGTGTGAATACATATTTAGTGAGCTTTTCCCCAAGCTGATGAACTTACATTGTTTTCTTTTAACAGCAATATCTCCATTGTGCCACAACTTGTTTGCACTCTTTGACGAACACACAAAGCTGTGGTATGCCCCGAATCATGTCTTCCAAATAGATGACAAAACTGTACTCCGAGTACATTATCGCATGAGGTACATGTAACAAGACTTTTATTCCATTGTTAAATCTTTTCAAATACCTGTGACTTTCTGTAGAATATGGTATTTAATTCAATTTGCAACCAGTCCTCAGACTGTAGCCTTGGATATCTCTTTCCAAGAGTCTGACTTGAAAGGTTTGAAAAGGTTTTAGTCTTACTGCTTATGACACAAAATGATTTTATTGTAACTTTTGTTATTTGATTGTTGCCTTGAGTTTCCAGGGGTGTTGAGAGAAGATTAGGTATAAGTTCAATGAATAGCTAAGCCAGGCACAAAGTCATAATTATTTGGTTTGATGTAGTCTTACAATTAGGGTTGCCATATTTCAAACACTGCCAATCTGGACAGAGCTCCCCTCCCCCTAGTTGTTCAGCTTTTTTTTTTTCCAAAATCACTTTTAAAAATGCTGTTTTTGAACTATTTTTATGAAAAATTGACAAAAATGGCACTGCTGACATACACCCGAATTTTCATGGACATTCTGCCAATTTCCACCCAGACACTGCTGCCAACCTCGGTATTCCGGATAGGTCCGGAAAATTCCGGATGTATGTCAACCCTACTTACTACAGGAGGATCTGAACTTCTTATAGTCTCTGTGTATAAGGATTTAAACTTATATGAACTGTGGGTTTCTTGAAACGTGGTCTTTGAGGTGACGTTGATCTCTGACTGCCATTGGAACAATTGTTACAGCATTTTGTAGCCTGCAAAAGTGTATTCTTTGAACCCTGGCGGGGTTGTCCTATTTAGCACAAAGAGAAATTGGCTACAGTCCAAAAAACAGCAAAGTAAAAACAGATACAAGATGCAAGATTGTGTATGTGTTAAGGAAGAAAAAAGCAAATTAATGGCCACTTTCTCATATTCATTTCCACACACCCTTTTTAGGATGGTTTGTATTTCCAGGCTACATAAAGTAGAGCAGTGAGATGGATGAGAAGGTATATCTGCTGATCTGATGGAGATGTGGCCATTCCCAGACTCATGCATCATTTTTTACCTAAAAGGCGCATAGATAGATAGTATGTACACACACACACACACGGTCTAATTTTCTAGCTTTTAATTCCTGAGCATACATATTATACCACCCACCTCCCAGCTCTAATTCAGTTGATCTTTATCATCAGAATCCTCCTATATTACTTACATTTCACAAAACCTAAAGCCACCTAGTAAGTTCATGGGGAGGATTTGAACTGTGGACTTTCCAGTATACAGCTCACTTTTGCCCACTCTGCTCCAGAGACCCATGTGAACAGGATAGCACCACCTGCTTATCAGAATGCTCTTTTAAATTTACTCTGTTTTCATCGCTTCAGTGACAGTATTGTTAGTGGCACAATTAAACTAAACAGTACTGTACCAGATATTAAATATGGTAAATTGGATTTCCCCCCCAAGGTCACAAACCTATTGGGTGGAGTTTAGTGTTCTGTTTTGCCCAACCTTGTGTGGTCATTACTCTGAGTGATACTGGTGCCTAGCAGGAAGTAGTTGCTAGGATTAAGTCACATTAAGGGGAATTTCTGTGTTAAGAAGGTTGTACGGCCATCACTGGCTTGGGCTGCACAAGGAGGTTGGGGGGCTTGAGGGGGAGCAGTATAAGAGACTAGGTAGTTCAGCTGCAGATGGCTTTGCTAAGATGGCTTAAATTAGCAGCCTCAACTTGAGTGGTTATGAGCGAATTGCCATTCCTATTAGCTGAATGTTATTTTTGTTGACCAGGTTCTATTTTGGCATTTGCTGAGTCCTTATTTTCCAGTCTTATATTAAAAAGGTTAAATTTTGCACATGACCTCACATAGTTTCCTGAAGTCCCGTTCTTTACTTCCTCAAGGTTTTACTTTACTAATTGGCATGGGACAAACGAAAGCGAACCCCCGGTCTGGCGACATTCTCCAAAGAAATCAAAGAGTGCTTATGAGAAGAAACTAGCACAAGAAGGAACACCTCTACTTGATGCAAGTTCTCTAGAATATATCTTTGCACAGGTAAGTTAGAGAGTGATTTTATGTTTGGTGGTATAGCAGCAGCATCCTTTTAAAAAAAATTATCAGTACAACTTTGTATTTGTTTCTTCAGGAGGGGATGGGTCTCATGATCATGTCCATGACCTGATCGATTATTTTTAAAATGATCCATATAAAATCCAATTTAAGTTCTCAATTCGTACACTGTCTAAATGCAGTAGTGGTTAGTGAAGTGGGGTGGGCCACTGGTGCTTGCCAAGGGTAAGGGCACATGGAGCTTCGCCCAGTGTTGTGCATGGCAGTGGAGCCAATCTGATGCTTCCCACCTCCACATGCTGCACATTGAGCTCCCTGCACCTTGCCTCTCCCTCTCAATAAGTGCCAGTGACACACTGTATTGGGAAACAGGGGGAGCCATGTCGCTCCACCCACACCACTGGCTGCTACTGACTAAATATTCAACAATTTTTTTAATAGATTCATTTTAATTTTATATTTCTTTAGATGCACATCTGCAGAAAAGTTACCTATAGATAATGTGATATAAGTAAATTAGGTTTGTGAACCTTTTTGCATCATACACCTGGGCCTCTTGACCCCATATGTGTTAACTATTTATTTTTTGTCGTGAAGAAGGGGCCTTGCCCGTTTGCTGATTCAAGCTATAAAATGTTTCACATAGTTTTCTTCATGGGTTTCTGGTGGTTGAAATGATATAGCCATGCCTTTAGCTAAAAACAGGTTTCTCCCGCTTTCTGATTAGGGACAAAATGATTTGATAAGATGCTTTGCACCTGTTCGGGATCCGAAAAATGACCAGGAGATTAATGAAATTGAAAATGAGTGTCTGGGGATGGCTGTGCTTGCAATCTCACACTATGCACTTAAAAAAGACCTGAAGTTGCCAGATGTTTCCAGAGACTTCAGGTGAGTCGGAATTTTTATTTTTAAAAAGTTTTTATGAAGTTGAAGGCATTCATAGTACATAGTCCTGAACCTTTATTGGTGTGAACTGTAATGACTTAAGTTGTCACTGAACTCAAAGCATTTTAATGGTGTGTCTCTCAGTAGTTGATGTGATTGAATTCCTGCCTTCTCCCCTCAGAATCCCAGACACAAGTCCACACCACTCAGTTGTCTCCTGTTGTTTGCAGAGCAACAGTATGTGCCTGTGCTGTCTTGTTGATATTGCATGACTACAAGAGGGTAGTTTAGCCAGGTCTTTCCTGACTTGGAAATCTTCAGCCTGGTCTCAACTGTACCAATCAAGTAGCACATTTCTGCAGTTACCAGAAGCATTACCTTCTCCCTTTAGCTCTATTTATTTCACTGTTCCTTATTACTGTTGTCCAGAACACTACTTTTATTAGCTAGTCATGACTAATATGGTAGCAGTTGGGGCCAGGTAAACTCTCTAACTTGTTCTTAAGAGCTCCTTGACCAAGGCATTAGCCTTGGTCAAGGGAAGGTGTTTAGTGGCTGTTCCATCTGGACATGTGATTCAGGATGGTCGTCCGTCTCTGCTCGGCACATTTTGTGTAGAGTGTGGCAGTTGACCAAGCTATATGGTTCTTAATTGTATTTTTATTGCTGCTGATCTTTATTGCTAACAGCCATAGACCACTACAATTCAATACATAAAGAAATAGAAACAAATCGAATATACTTCATCAAACAAAACATATATTTCATCAAGTCTGCAGTAACCATCAGACCTGAGCAATAAACTGCAATACAATATAAGAAGCGATACAAATATAACTAAAAATAATACGAATATTCAGTGCAGTGGTTGTGCTGTCTCCCATCTTCAACCACAAATCCACACACACAGACTGCAGAGCTCCTGCTGATTTGAATAAATCTTGTCAAACACTGATGGTCTTCAGATCACAATTTGGGAATGCCTACTGTAGATCAAGGTTTCCCAACCAGCTGTTTTTGGACTACAGTTCCCATCATCCCTGTCCACCAGGGCCCTGCAATGTAGGTATGATGGGAGTTGTAGTCCAAAAACAGCTGGAGACCGAAGTTTTGGAAACCATGCCTTCTGTCAGTGGTGGACACATCAAAGGATATCAACCCTCTATTTCAAGGAGAGGTTTCTGAGCTGGAAGGGGAATAAATTGAACCACATATCTTTACATACATTGCACTCAAAAACAACAAATATGCTTTTATGTGTTTACGTATATGTATTCAGTATTTTTATCTGATATTTTGGAGGATTTTTTGTTTCTCTATACATTGTTTTTCATGAAATATCCCCTTGGGCAGCTTAGAATAAATGAAACATTGACAGAAACAATGAATATGCATCTCTTCCCCACCCCTTCCCAGCTATAAACGGTATATTCCCGAAAGCCTGAGCAAGACCATAAGACAGAGGAACTTCTTAACCAGAACACGGATAAACAACGTTTTCAAGGATTTCCTTAAGGAATTTAACAAGAAGACCATTTGCGACAGCAGCGTTTCTCCGCATGATCTGAAGGTGAAATACTTGGCGACATTGGAAACGTTAACGCAACATTTTGGTGCAGAAATACTCGAGACTGCCTCGTTGTTGATTTCATCAGAGAATGAGAAGATCTTTGACACGGGTTACTCTGAGATCATCCCATGTTATCAAGTGATGGTAACAGGCAATAATGGAATCCAGTGGCGGCTGAAACCAATTGTAAGTATCCTAATGGGCATAAGTGCTAGAGGAATTGTTTCGTTGCATTTCACCTATTTATTTAAATAACATCTGTACAGCATTGTTAATTTCAGAAACAGCTATAATTGGGAATCTCATAGGTAAACCACCCAGCCTCTGAGGTCATGAAAGTTGCTTCCAGTCGGTAGCTATGGCTTAGATGTGTTTACTTATTTATAAACACACTTTGTACTGGTAGAAGTGTCTTCTTAAATAAGGTTTCATTAGAACAAGACTGTACAGCAGAAGGAAGTTCAAACAATGGACAGAGATCTTTTCAGTTACAGGACTTTTGAACTCTTTGTTTTATGGGTGTGAGATGATCAAGAATGAATGAAGGAGCAGGTGTTTGCATTGCAGACCTGCTCATATCATGGTTCAATACTAATGGGATGTCTTGCACTTCTAAAGCCTCATTTGGGGCTCATTCCACTTGCCACACCATTTTCTCCTGGGAAAACCCAGTGTTTGCTGCTGAATCGGAACAAACTGTTTTTCTGCAGATTGATGTTTGTTCCGATTCAGTGGTAAACAGTGGGTTTTCCTTGGGACAAATGAAAAACTGCTTGGACCCATGCTTTCTCATTATGGGACAAGCAGAAATGTGGACAAGCCCTGTAATTCAGTTATAATTGAAGAAATATAAAACTGCCTTTTTGTAGGCCAACACAATTGCCTACAATTAATTTGATTTCACTTTTATCATTCCGTGTTCTTTTATGTCTTTTCTGTGCAAGCACACGGCACAACAGACAGTTCCAGAACTCTTCAGGTTCAGGGTTCTTCTATCTTTCTGCCCCTAATCTACATGTGTTTGTGTCACACAGGTTACACAGAGCGAGAGAGAGAAACACAAAACAAAGAGGAAAAGATCAGATGGCAAAGCCAAGAAAAACGAAGAAAAAAGTAAGAGAGAAGAATGGAATAGTTTTTGTTACTTTCCCGAAATTACTCACCTTGTGATCAAGGAATCCACGGTCTGCATTTACAAGCAAGATAACAAAAGGATGGTAAGAGCTCTAGATCCCATTACACATGTTCATACACTTTTGAATTCTGTGCAAATGATAACAAAATTACCATTCCTGAATTCTATGCCCTTTGGTAGAAAACCAGGTGTTGCACTAAGGAGGTTTTTCTATCAGTGTAAATTATTAACAAGAGAATTTTAGCATGTGACAAGGCTCATCTTACCCTTTTTGCAGTAGCCTGCTGAACCTTATTTGAAATTGGAACTTTGTCCTATTTACACTGTCATCAAAGGACTGGAAAATACATGAGACTCATCTAGCTCATATATATATGTGTGTGATCATCCAAACCACTTGCAAAAGTACTGACAGAAACCCAACTGTGTATTGTTAATTAAGGTAGCAATCTATCCTATGCAAATTGTTTGATTGTGCATACAAGATCTGCTTCCCATTACTGGGACGCTGTGTCTGAGGTTCAGTAGATCTGAATCCAGAGAAGGCTGAACGTTTTTGTAGGAAAATGTCAAGATCTAGAGGAGGTGTTTCCTTTTTAACGGGTCTTCAGTTTATCCTCCTCAGAGCAGGTGCTATGGATTTAAGCTGAAGATCCTTTTAACTAACTAACTAACTAACTAACTTAATTCCTCTCAAGTCCACTGTGTGTGATAGATACACATTTTACAACCTTCAAAATCCTAAGCAAACAAATGGATTCCTAAATGTTGGTTACTCTTGTTTCTTAATTGAAGAGGAATAATTCTTCATGAAATTACTTTTCTGCTCTAGGAATTCAAGCTGTCTTCGTGTGAGGAAGCTTTGTCATTTGCCGCTTTGATAGATGGGTATTTCAGGCTTACTGCAGATGCCCATCATTATCTCTGCACTGATGTCGCACCGCCCTTGATAAAACACAACATTAAAAATGGCTGCCATGGTCCAATATGGTTAGTTGATATCCTTCAAATACTATACTTTGTAAAGTTTTGTTCACATAAACAACATGCATGTTATTTTTTGCCAATGCCACTTTGACTCTGCAGAATAATTAAAACCAAAGTAAACGGTTACATTGAAGTGAAGGAACTGATAACAGCTTCAGCTGCTGAAGTTGTTCTTAAAGTATTCCCTTCCCACATTCAGTGCCACTGGTTAACTTAATAATAATAATAATATGAACATCTAGAGAAGATACTGTATTTTTCGCCCTATAGGACGCACTTTTTCCCCTCCAAAAATGAAGGGGAAATGTGTGTGCGTCCTATGGGGCGAATGCAGGCTTTCGCTGAAGCCTGGAGAGCGAGAGGGGTTGGTGCGCACCGACCCCTCTCGCTCTCCAGGCTTCAGGAAGCTATCCGCAAGCTGTGGGAGAGCTGCCTGCACCCCGAAGCCTGGGGGGCGCTGAGCTCAGCATGCCCCAGGCTTTGAGCTTCGCGCAGCTCTCCGCAAGTCGTGGGAGAGCTGTGCAAAGTCGCGCAGCTCTCCCACGGCTTGTGGAGAGCTGCCTGTTCTGGGGGCTGGGGTCGGGGGAAGCTCGGGCTTCCCCCACCCCAGCCCCGCGCCTGGGGGGGGAATAATTTTTGTTCTTTATTTCCCCCCAAAAAACTAGGTGTGCCCTATGGGCCGAAAAATACGGGTACCTCCATATGGTGGTACTTTTGAATAAGCATGGTATTCTTGGTTGTGGAATGCTTTCTATGTGTTTAATAAGGATTTTGCAACTTTTTGCAACTTGTGGGAACTGTATCTAAATAAAAGATAGTAGTAGTAGATTGTCTGTTCCTCTTTTTGAAACAACTTACCTCTTGGATACTTTGTTCAGTAATCTTTAAAAAAGTTGTTTTAAAAAAACAAATGTTAAGAAATATGAGTCACAGTCCAAAATTTGAACCTGCTCTTAAACTGCCATCTACAGAATCTCCAAACTTTTAAGGTAATGAAAACTGAATTTAATATTCTGAATTTCTCACTCTTATTTTTATTTGGAATTCCCGATGGCCCCTACCTGAAATGTCTATTCTGTGGTTATCCCATTTTTTAAAAAAATTGGCTCAGTTTTGCTACATGACAGACTTGCTTTCAAGAGGCTTTTGAGTATAACTGCTCATTTTTGAACACTTCCAGCACAGATTATGCGATCAACAAGCTGAAGCAAGAAGGAAATGAGGAGGGGATGTATGTCCTGAGGTGGAGCTGTACAGATTTCCATAACATCCTCATGACTGTTATATGTAGTGAATACTCACAGGTACGATAAGAGTTATCATTTATATGCCCAATAGCTTTAGCTGTAAAGACTGTACTTTGATCTATAAAAAATAATTTATGGATTTAGGATTGAGAAAAGTCTTGCCTTTGCTAGTTTTATATGCTCATGAGACTCCAGCACAAGTGTGACGTTTTGTTCCCACTTATTTCTGAGAGAGCCTACAAGCTGAAACTAGCTGAGTCTATTTATGCATGTGACAAATTTAAGCAGACTCCATACTATGTACCTTTCTGCTATCTGGAAGGTAAACTAGAGACAGGGAGTGGTTGATTAAATAATAATCTAGGTGTGGCGATCCCTTCTCATCTGTAGTATTTCTACTACCAGTTGGAGTGTGATCTATGTGTAGTTAAAGTATTAATCTGAAATTTTGGTGTCAAGGAGATCCGAAATCATCTGTCATTGTACCTCTCTGATTGACATGGCACTGTTAACTGATCAACCTACATTGGATGGCAAAGCTATTGATGACATTGTTCCAGATTCTGGCTGAGAAAATACATGTGATGTTTCCTCTCATTATCATACATGTAATGAATCATCCAGGACTCCTTCATTGTGTCACAAGATAGGATGAAAATGCTTCATCAAATGCTTGATAAACAAACCTCTAGTATGATTTCACTGCATTTACTGGAATCTCCTCAGGAATACATTTAGACCTAATTATTATCTCCATGTTACTTGGGTTAACTTGATGATGATTTATTCTATCTCCCTTCCTTTCCCACAGCAAATGCTGAACCCTACAAAACAGTACAAGAACTTCCAGATTGAAATGACTAAAGATGGATGTCGTTTACATGGATCTGATCGCTTATTTCTATCTCTGAAGGAGTTGATGGACCACTTAAAAGGACAGATGCTTAGGACAGACAATATAGTCTTCACACTAAAGAAGTGCTGTCAGCCAAAGCCAAGAGGTAGAGTCTTTAAGGTGGTCTTTCTGTAAAGATACTTTACAGAAGTACCGTATATTTCTCACGGAAAACCTTCAACTTGTGTTTCTCATAGAAAAAGTCTGCATCTCATCTAAGCTTTCTGTGTTTTAAGCAAGGCAATGCTGAAGCGTATGCTCAGCATATGTTTTACCTACTACAGTAATACCCCAGTGCTGGCTAATTGCCACTGTTCTGGAAACATCACATGAAGTGGCAAATCTATTTGAAGTGTTTTAGTGAACGGTTTTTGTATTTCTAGAAATCTCCAATTTGCTGGTGGCGACAAAGAAATCCCTAGAATGGCAACCAGTCTGCCCGTTAGGACAGCTGAGCTTCCACCGAATCCTTAAAGAAGAAATAATACAAGTAAGTGATCATGACATTTAAACATTTTGTGTTTTATTACTCTTTGATAAATATTAATTAATGTCTAAGAAAATGGAGGAAAACACTGATCACCTTATCCCAACTTCTGTTGAAATCAGTCGTAAATGTTCAGATTACAATGCACCTTCAGGGTTCTGTGATAACAAAAAGGTTCATTTCCGCCTTCTTAAAATCCTGCAAGTTATTGTATGCACTGCTATTAATCTGTTGCAAAAAGGATATTCTAATCTATTTTTGGAGAGGGAGCTATGAGTCAAGCTGTTTTTAGGTGAAAGGTTACTCAGATCAGTTTGTTTTAAAGAGGAAGACTTCCTTAATGAGAAATGCATACCACACATGATTCTGTAAAGCATAAAGTAACTTTACTGCAATTTGCAGAACACTCTAGTGACTCCAGAATTCATTTGAATTCATTTGAATACAAATGACTTATTATCAAAGCTGTCCCATCAAACTGACTTGCAATCTGAAGAAAAGATAGCAACCCAAGTGCTAAGGATTTCAAAATAATTGCATTCATATCTTGTTAGTTTGAAAAAGAAGCCATTAGGCAATATTCTAATTATATCTGTCACACTGGACTCATTTGATACCAGTGTAGAAGACTGATCTCTTATCTATCAAATGAGTATAGTACAATTAATATACCTCTTGATAATGAAAACTCAAAGTGATGTGGTGGTCTTTGCAATACTAAAGCCAATGGATAAGTATGGCACAATTTCTAACTGTTGGATTTAAACTATACTTTAGGGTGAACACCTTGGCAGAGGAACAAGAACGCAGATTTACTCTGGGGTCCTTAGGTATAAGGAAGATGAGAGCTATCAGGCTGAAAAGGCGATGAAGGTTCTCCTGAAAGTCTTGGACCCCAGTCACAGGCACTTTTCTCTGGTATGTTTCACTTTATGAAATGGCTGCTGTCACTGCTGCTACGTTTTTATAGGCAGTCTGGAATGCAAGACTCTAAACGATTGTCAACCCCATTTGAAATTACGGTTTATAACCTGGGTGGGAGTTCATACAATTGTTTGTGAGGCTACATCAATGCATATTTCCACTTGGGAAGAGATAAAATACCCATTTATTAAAGGTGTTTGTCGAACTGAAACTAGTCTTTTTGTGTGTGAAAGATCTGTCTCATGTTCCCAGTTAGGAATGGGGTGTCCCAAATTTCTGTTAGTAACTGACATATTTTATCAGGAAATCTTTCTTTCTTGCCTGGAGGGGAAGATGTGTGTTGCATAGGGGTTTCTCATTTCCTGCGTGTCATTATAGGGTAGAAACAGGAGCTGCATCTTAAGCTACTGCTCCTCTAATGGTGCAGACCAGCAAGTGCTTCTTGGACTGCACATCACTGGAGCTTTAGAAATGCAGCAGACTGCTTCCCTTTATAAGTCATTAGAAACTGGCAACCTGTGTTTCTGTTACAGCCACATGAATCACTCCAGGATCTTTCTGTGGCTGCAGGACTTTACATAAAACCTGTAATTGGTGAGGGGAATTTTGCTCATGGATAATAACAAACTCAAGCAGTGGTTTAAACATATGCGCATCACTGAACTTGGTTATTGTTTAGACACTGGCTGTCTGTAGGCTTTTACTGCTGCTTCTTCCTTTCATAGTTTTGTTGATCTAAAATCTCTGCTCTGTCACCCTGTGTGTGTAATAGGCATTTTTTGAGACTGCAAGCATGATGAGGCAGATCTCCCACAAACACATCGTCCTCCTCCATGGAGTTTGTGTCCGTGATGTGGAAAGTAAGTGAAATCTTTTGAGTACTGCTTTTCAAAACGAAGTGGTAGTTGAATTCCTCATCTTAATATTACATCTCCGTCTCTCTGTCTCTCTCTCTATATATATATCGGTGATGCATATGCTTCTAAGTTAAACCTGCCTGAAATATGCCTTTCCTGCAATTTCCCTCTCAATTAAAAATGCATGAAAGAGATTAAAGTATCTGTGCTCTTCCTACACCACTAATTTTTTTCCTGTGCTTGTTGCAGACATTATGGTAGAAGAGTTTGTTGAATTTGGACCTCTGGATCTCTTCATGCACCGCAAGAGCGATCTGCTTACTACTCCTTGGAAATTCAAAGTAGCAAAGCAATTGGCAAGTGCATTGAGCTACCTGGTAAGTCCTAGATGTTATCTACTGATAGCAATTCTTTCTGCAAGTCTTCCATATCACAAAATGCAACTTGCATTGGCTATGCATTCTGATAAGCCAGTTATGCACAGTCTTGAAGTGAGTGGAAAGGTGGGGCAGGGGGAAGCTTGCCTTCTGTGAACTTCAGTAGTGTTTTGTGAACTGTTGTTCTAAGCATGTTTTTCATATTATTCAAAAACGTTTTCAGTGCATTTGGATGCCATTGTCGTAACATGCCAATTTCATGACATTCTCTTATAAATACAGGAGGACAAAGATCTAGTTCATGGAAACGTTTGCACAAAAAATATACTCTTGGCAAGAGAAGGAATTGACAATGAATATGGACCTTTCATAAAACTGAGTGACCCAGGAATTCCAATAACAGTGCTGTCTAGAAAAGGTATTCTTTTAGAAAATAGTTTTTATCAGAATTGTAAAGAAAACAACCTTACTTGTTATTACCTGTATCATGCATCTGTATCTGTGTATCAGTGTGTATGTCTAGGGTGTGTTGGCACTAATTTTCCAAAGAGATGCACTGAGAATAGCTGACATTGTCCATATCGCAACTAAAGCATCCATGACAGATGGCCATTCAACTTCTGCTTAAAAAGTCGAACTGCCCTTAATATTATAATTGGGTTAATATTAGAAGGACTAACTTGCCCACAGCATGATACTGAATGCCATAACATAATTGCACACTGGTTGCATTTACATGCTCATATCTAGGCTTTGACTCTCTGCTTGCAGTACTTTGTTCATCCTTTTGTGTGAGCAAACAGACAAGCCAGTTAACTATAGTTTTTCATTTTGTTCAGTGCTACTGAACGGCAGAAACTAGGGTTCTGAAGCAATTGACTAGCCCATGATATGAAGGCAACTTTGAACTTGTTTGTGTTAAAAAATAAGTGTTGGAATAACTCTTGATGATGTGCAGCCCTGAAATTTGGTATACATGGGTCCAAGAGGCCAGAATTACTGGTTTGGGTTTTTTTTGAAAATGTGATATTTATACACCCTTCTTGCAATATAGGGCACTCAAAGGACACCTCAAAATGGGCAGATTGTTTACACATTAATTAAGAATGATGTGCGTATATAGATCAAGATCCTTTGAATACTAGAAAAGTAAAAAAAACAAGATTTAGCAAGTTTCTCCCTAGAAACAAGAGGGCAATAAATGAATCTTTCAAGTGACTCAGGTAGTTCAAGGCTGTTCGCACAGCTGAAATATGGCAGATGCATAGAATTGTAGATTGGAAGCGACCACATGGACCATATTCAACCTTCTGCAATGCAGGGGTTTTTTTTGCCCGATGTGGGGTTCGAACCCACACCCATTCCATAACTGCTTCCAGATTCTTTCCTTCCGTGTATTTTCTCTATAGGAGTGGCTATTTCTATTAATAGTTCTGTGCTTACGTTAAAAGTGAGTCTCCTCAATGTACACTCCCCCCCCAAAAAAAAAGTAGTTTAAAAAGGAACATGTATTTAAGCAACCAATACCATGACTCGCTTCAAAACCGTTTTCACCTCAATTTTTTGTTTCCTCCCAGAATGTGTTGAGCGCATCCCTTGGCTTGCACCAGAATGTGTAGAAGACTCAAAAAAATTAAGTGTGGCTGCTGATAAGTGGAGCTTTGGTACAACACTGTGGGAAATTTGCTACAATGGAGAAGTGCCACTTAAAGACAAGACATTAGCAGAGGTAAGGCCTGGGGGGCTGTGGTGTGGCGGCGTTAAGGTATCCCTTTCTTACTATATTTTGCCTTTTGTGGAAATACATTTTTAGCTCTCTTGTAGAAAGCGTGTAGGGCAAGTGGAGATGTCAGCCGAAGAACCTTTTCGTAGTGCGCAGTAGAGTTTTACAAACAGAAGCCACGTTCTGAGTAGCCTAATTAAACCCCAGTGGGGTTTTGCAAAACCTCAGTCCACTGCTAAGAGCTCCCCTACAAAAGGATATTTCCTGCTGGAAGGCAGCCTCTTTTGAAACTTGGGGTGTGAAAGAAGGCATGTTTCCTAGCTCCAAGAATAACACAGGTGTCTCCCAACCAATCTTGCAGAAGGAGAGGTTTTATGAAGGGCATTTCACGCTTCCAGTCCCATCCTGCAAGGAGCTGGCTGACCTGATGAAGCAGTGCATGCACTATGACCCCAGCCAGAGACCATTCTTCAGAGCAATCATGCGAGACATCAACAAGCTAGAAGAACAAAGTAAGTAATCTATTTTGCTTATTTCCCCTCTTCATTGTCAGTTTTATTTTCTTTGCTCTGTGGGATACATTAACATTAATGAATTTGCAAACATCTTGATGGCAGTATAAAAAAGCCAGATATAATCCCCTGCAGGCACAGAAGGGATTTGCTGTTCAGAAAGTAAGATAGTTACCAAGATGGCTCTGTACATAAAAATCCGCAACCCGACACTGTTTTGGATTGCCGTTGTCATGGAATATTGTTTGTGTTACAGTAGTTATGGAAGCATCCAGGGTGACGTAAGGGTAGAGCTGTCAAGCTCTGCCTCACCATCAGTTCCTGTGTATTAATGATTATTTTGCCAGTGTTAATACCCCTTCCATAGCCCTTAGTATACAATGAGAGGTGGTGTGTAGTCTTATTGCCCACACCTTGTGCTATGATTCTGCTTGCCTTGGTGAGAGGGTGGTTGGCTCTTGGCTAGGAATAAGACTACAAGGTTTACTCTGAACGTTCAGAATGGAGCGGGTGACTGCTAATCCCTGCCCTCAGATATTGCCAGCTTCCCTTTGCCAGTTTAACTCCCTCATTTCTAAAGCAGTTGTCCATCTTCTGGGAAGATTTTCACTGGGGCCAATGATTTAGAGGAAGATACACAAATGTTAGGAATCTGCAGTTTGACAGAACATTCAGCAAGGTGATGGGGTCTGTTGAAATGCAAAGTAAGCGTATGTAAAAATAGATTTGAAAATTTAAAGGGTAAAAGTACTCATTTGTACCACACTAATATTCTTACCTGTGTCAGATCCTGATATCGTCTCGGAGAAGAAGCCTAATGCGGAGATTGATCCTACCATTTTTGAGAAACGCTTCTTGAAGCGCATTCGTGACTTAGGCGAGGTATGTTTACTTCTATTGCTGCTGCTCAGTATTTTTTGAAGATTTGGCACTGAGGTGCTGTACAAGGTGCTCTTATTCCCCTTTTGCACCTGTAGTCATAGTGTGCTGAAACATAGATGGCTTGTATTTTTGTTGTGATCATTCAGCATTGTGTTCCTTCTATTGTTTTTAGAGACGGGAATAACGTGTTAAGTCAGCCCATTTCTCTGTGCAGGTTAATGGATTTGTTCATATGTTTATAGAGCAAGTGAAGTGTGGAATATTCCCTTCTGACATAAGTAAATATGCATAGGGCTCCAAAAGCAGCACAGAGTGCAAAGGGCAAGGTTTCTGAGTAGAGATATGCCTTAGCTCAAACCTGCCTGGGAGTCGCACCTCCCTTGGTGTAAGTTCCAGGCCCCCGTTTTACTTGTGGCAAACACTTCAGTGAGACAAAGCACCTCTCACACGTTTTATAGACATTCTGTTTATTGCTTGACATCTGTGGTAACTAAGTAACACCATCCGGAAGGCCACAACTCCCATTTGCCCCATCCAACATAGTCCAACGCCACCTGGAAGGCTACTGGTTAGCCACCCCTGCTAGATATGTTCTGGTATTGCAAAGAGGGACTGAAGCAGATACCCGGAAGCGCCCAGCATAGAGTGGTTTTTGGTCCATAAGGGTTAAGTGATTGTCCCAAGAACCACAGATCCACTAAGCAATAAAGCCAGAAGCAGATTCAAATGTCTGTAAAAGAAACCTAGCAGGGATTTGGTTCCTATTCATTTTTCTTCTGTGGAACTTCTGAATAGTGGAGGTCACCCTGTTATTGCAGTGGTTTGCTGATCACGAATGCAGCCTATCAGTGGGTATCATTGAAACATTCTCCTAGGTGAAGTAGCTGCCTCGCTTTCTCTTTCTCTTTCTTTTGCAAAGCAAGAGTGTGGGTGGCTGACCATGTTTTTAAATTTTATTTTTGAAATTAGGGCCATTTTGGAAAAGTTGAACTCTGCAGGTACGACCCTGAGGGTGATAATACTGGAGAACAAGTGGCAGTAAAGTCACTGAAACCTGACTGTGGTGGGAACCATATTGCTGAGCTAAAGAAAGAAATCGAAATCCTGAGGAAGCTTTATCATGAAAACATCGTGAAATACAAAGGAATCTGCACCGAAGATGGTAAGTCTTGGAAGTTCTGTAAATGTTTTCAGTTTTCCTGTTTACTTTTAAATTATCCCTCCTCCCCCCCCAGATATCTTTAGGAAAAGACCAATTACTAAATTCTAGCAATACAATACACTTAATCCCATTGAACATATTTATTATGCATGTTACATCCCCTGGTTATGGCAGCTGGGAAAATGGACAAACTGACCTTTTTTCCGGTCATTGTGAATCATTCTTTTCCTTGGAACGGAAAGATATTAGGAGGGATGGAAAGGTGTTAGGAAAACACTGGATTAAATGGACCATGGAAAATACTTAAAAGTAATACTTGACCGCCCTGAGACCCCCAGGTATACGGCAGTATATAAATAATAATAATAATAATAATAATAATAATAATAGTAGTAGTAGTAGTAATAATAATAATAATAATAATAATAATAATAATGTGGTCAAGGGTGTTGTGTATTGAATTTGCAGGCACAGCACGGTAGCAGAGCAGCCAGGAACTAATTAAGGGAGGTAGTGATTGCTTTTAATTAGCTGCGTTGGGTAGTCCTAGCCTAGGTGTCTATATATAGCAACATGGCTGGGGTTTTGTTTGTCTTTCTACTTGCTTGCTGCCATGAATAAAGATGTTACCATACTACCACTGGCTGGACTCACTATATAATAGGTGTTGACTCTGAAAATTGCTTGAGATAATTTTGGCTTTCTTGATCAAAGGTGGAAATGGAATTAAGCTGATCATGGAGTTTCTTCCTTCTGGAAGCCTAAAGGAATATCTTCCGCTAAACAAGAATAAAATTGGTCTGAAACAGCAATTGAAATACGCTGTACAAATCTGCAAGGTAATGCTGTACATATTTTAATATCTAGTTGTAGCAGTGTCTTGATGTTTAATTTTCATTCATGTGTTCAGAATTGAAATATCTGTTTAAAATCATAATGCATGAATATGGGGGGTGGGTTGTTAGCTTTTTGAAAAAAATAATTTATTCAACATTTCCATACCAGTTAAGGCCAGCCTTTCAGTTGCAATAAAAATGCAAGAATAAACCAACTGAGCAAAAAGGCTAATAAAAGCTAATGGGACAACAGCCATAAGCAGCTTGGATAAATGCAAAAAGTATTTAGGGGTTGCTTAAAAGGCAAGTTCCTGGGGGGGGGGGGGAACAGAGTCCACAAGTGTGGGGGCACCAGTTATTGACCTTGGTGATGGCAGGATATAGGTCCCCTGAATCCCACTTTGGGGTTTAAGGAGTTTTAAGGTGTGTGTAGCTGGTTCTTCATACAACCTGATACCAAACCATGTATATCCTTCACTTTATCTCTGCTCTAGGTTTCTTACCTTTAATGTGCCCCATGTTTTATGAGGTGAATGATTTCATTTATGAAAGTTGAAAACGATGTTGAAAATGATAATACAGCCTTGTATTAAAGTGAGCTTTGTTGCTAATTTTCTCTCTGGCTAAATTATATGTAACCAAGCAGCAGCAGAAACAGAGAGGACTTTTTAGAAAAAGTAAAAAGAGCCTAAGGCCTAGGGATTCTTCACACTGCCATGTGCTTTAGTTCCAAAACTCTAGCTCGTTCTGTAGGAGGGTTCAGACTATGAGCACTGAAAAGCTTACCAAACAGAAGGATTGGGTGTACAAATTCTAAAGAACATTGTTAGAGGTGCTTGAGGTAAAAAGCAATTAATTGCAAGAGAATGGAACAATACTTGAAATTTTGTGTGTCTTCAACCACCAGGGAATGGACTACTTGGGATCTCAACAGTATGTTCATAGAGACTTAGCTGCAAGGAATGTTCTAGTTGAAAATGAACAGAGAGTGAAGATTGGGGACTTCGGGCTAACCAAAGCAATTGAGACGGATAAGGAATATTACAAAGTCAATGATGAAAAAGACAGCCCTGTGTTCTGGTAAGGAAGAAAGAGAGATATATAGTGACAAGCTAGTAAGTTTTTGCTGCAAGAGATATTATTTTTAGCTGAAACTGCACTGTGTGTCACTACGGATTATCCTCATGGTAGGTGTTATCAATAAGTAATGGGAGGTTTTAACTTGATAATGATCACTTGACCATAAGAAAGGGTTCTTGTATTGCATTTTCTAGTTCAAGAGCAGTCTGACAGGTGGTGGCATGTACATGTATTTATTGATGCATTTTATGCTTACATTTATGGTTAGGTATAGGAATTACTTGCAAAACTATAAAGTGCCTCATAGTTGTCTTTGCCTGAAAACAGACATAGGCTGGATCTATACTGATCTGGAAAACACTATTAAAAAAGTAGTATAAGCTCTCAATGCAATTTTACATTGACGATGGCTCACTGCTCTACAGCGCCTTCTGGTGTCACATTTTTATAACACGTTTTTAATGTTTTTAACTGACCAGTGTAGATTAGTCCTTACTTTGATATTTGTTTCTCTTTACAATCTTCTCCTACCTTTAATTATTTCAATATTTGTTTGTTTCTTGTTTGTTCAATTGATGCATAATACTTTTGTGTGAAGCATATGGAGTCATCTTAGTAGTTTCTGTTGCGACGGCAACATCACTATCCAGAATTCCACTATTTAATGATGCAAAGTAAGTTTTGGCTTTTTGTGCCGCAGTTGTACCCAAAGTAAATGAAAGTGTTATATGGTTACAGGTATGCTCCTGAATGCTTACTGCAGAGCAAATTCTACATTGCTTCAGACGTTTGGTCTTTTGGAGTGACCCTCTATGAGCTACTGACCTATTGTGATCCTGCATGCAGTCCAATGGCAGTAAGTAGCTGTGAAAGGAAAACTTCTTTCCCATATGCTGTCTTCCAAAATAAGAGTAAAGTGTGTGTAAGTGCTTTATGGGGGGGGGGAAGGACCCCTTAATCTTTAAAAGTCCCAGATTTCAGGGCAGTTAAGTGTGTGCATACATGGATAACACTGCATTTAGGGGAATGTTGTTCACTGTCTGAAAATGATTTTCCCCACCCCACCCCCGAAGCACTTATGAAACTCCTAAGCTTAAGTTGGGATGAAATGAAAGGATGAACATAGACCTTTTATTTGATGAAAATGATCATACTTTATATAGATGGTCCCATGATTTCTGTTTGAAACTAGTTATTTATGTTCACAGGAGAACCATTACTACTTCTAGGTTGTCTAGGGATCTTAAGAAAGCAATTTGATATATATAGCAAGTGCTTTTTTTTCTAGACAAATAGGTGCCAGTACTCACCATGAAGTTGTTACAGTTAAGGGTATACACTACCTGCACCTCTTTGAGTACCTCCTGGAAAAAAAAAAGCACTGGATATAGTCATTATAAAATTGGGTTACCAGTTCTTAAACTTCTCTTTGGGTGCCTTTAAAACTCTCCAAGCGCAGGCTCCCTGTACTTTAAAGTTGTGCTGAGCTTGACCTGGAGGACACTTGGTTCTCGTTTTTGTCTAATGAGACAAAGATGTGTAACTAACACACACACACCCTCTCTATTTTGGGAAATTTCACTTTTAGGGGTCCATCCTTTGCAAAGATGTGAAACTGTTCCTAAGGGGTTGGGCGTCCCAATCCTTGGTTAGCTAGACACAACAGGTCAACAAAGAGGGAAGGAGGGGTTCATTCAATAAACTGAAGCCTGGATTCTGCCAGTTTGTCTCCCCAGGTTTCTGTAATCCGCATAGGTCTCTACAGCAAAGCTGACTTGCTTGCTTTTGTTTGCATTCCATTTATCGTAACCCTCCACCCCAGTGCCCATGCTCCCTCCCCTTCTACCTATGTACAACCCAACATTGCTGGTCTTTGGAATGGCAGCTGTGCATGCATACAGTGGTGCCTCGCAAGACGAAATTAATTCGTTCCGCGAGTTTTTTCGTCTTGCGAAGCACGGTGTCGGAAAAGTTTTGGAAAAGCTTCAAAAATCACCAAAGTCTTCAAAAACCTCAAAAAAGGCTACCACACCGCGTTCTATGAGTTGCTCCTCGAAGTCAAGTTGCAACTGTATTAAGAAAAAGGAAACAAACTTGCAAGACGTTTCCGTCTTGCGAAGCAAGCCCATAGGGAAAATCGTCTTGTGAAGCAACTCAAAAAACGAAAAACCCTTTCGTTTTGCGAGTTTTCCGTCTTGCGAGGCATTCATCTTGCGAGGTACCACTGTACATATCCCAACTATTCCCCCCACCGTTAACCTCTCTTCACCCACCTCCACACCAATAGTCCAAGGTTCTGCTACCTATCTTTGGGCCCTTGTCATCAAGCAGGCACCACTCCTACCCTCTCCCTTGACTCTTGCACCCAGCCCAGCCGTACCCTTTTACTAATAGAGAAATGAGATTAAACGTGGGTTTTCATAACTTACAGGAATTCCTGAATATGATTGGACCAACTCAAGGCCAGATGACAGTGACACGGCTTGTGCGGGTATTAGGAGAAGGCAAACGTTTGCCATGTCCTAAAAATTGCCCACCAGAGGTAAGGCATTAAGAATTATTATGCATTGTCTTGTGTTGAGCAAATTCCCATCAGCTTGATGTTTATGAGCTTTCACAGGAAAAAGCTCTTTTAATCACAATTTGTATATGTAGACACAAACTTAATGTCTGAATCTTTCGATGTGTAAGCCATAACGTACCCTTTTCATTTACTAGGTTAACCAACTGATGGGGAAGTGTTGGGTTCAAGACCCAGGTGAGCGGACAAGCTTTCACAATCTGATTCAAGGATTTGAAGCACTTATCCAAAAAATGTAATCCATGCATTTTATACTTGCCACTTAAATGTTTTGAAAAGTGTACAAGGCCTTTTTATTACCTAGTGTAATTTTGTACTTTGGTAATGTTGTGTCTGAAAAGGGTTTTTCTGTTTGAGTAGCCAACACGTGAGTCCGATAAGCAGCAGAGAACATTGCTGAACATTTTGCCAGTTTATATATCTGTGCCAACAGGGTCTACCTGTAGGATCTCAGCTGCTGGGCCAAGTACTTTAAGTGATAGGTGCCTATACAAAGTTTGAATCATGTTGTATTAGAGAGCAAAAGATGATTTCCAAACAGTGTAGTGGCTGTCATTACAGTACAAAATGTTAATCATGGCAGATAAATAGAAATGTTATTGACAGCATTCAAAAATGAATATTAAGGAGGTGTGCTAGATAACTTTGGTTGGAATCCAACACCAGTTTTGTCCTACACACAAAGGGACTTTGGATCTGTGCCACACATCCCAAGCTACTTTTTGAGCTTGCATCAACTCGCAAAAGCGGTTTGTGTTCAGCAAACCTGAAGTAACTCCTGTCATCGCAGCATTGTTTCTCCCTCTTGATATATATTTGTAGCATTTGCTTTTAGTATATTCATTAAAATCCAGACACCATTGGCACCTTGTCCTGGAGCATTCTGATCTAGTCCAAAATTTCTACATCACAGAAGTCAGTCCTTCTCATAATCTTAGGGGTGCAAAAATAATGTCAGGGGAAAGACCACTGAAGCATGACAACATTTGGGGTTTTTATTGGGTAACAGATTGCAAGTGACAATTAAGCAGAATAGTGAGTTTTGAAGACATTTCTCCAGCAAGGCTGAATGGTGCATGGATTTTAATGCACACTCTGTAAATGAAGATATTACAAGAGATAACATATGCGAACCTGGAGTAGGGGGGTGGATGTACATTATTCCTGCATTGTGCACTTGCTATAAAAGAAGTAGGATTCAGTATGTTCTGCAATGAAGAGAGAGTCATGTACAAGCTCTGGGGCCAGAATGCATGCATTGCCTTACTCTGTGAATTTGCTTGTCTTAACAGATGGAAGACTAATTTGGAGGCTAGTCTTTTTCCTAAAGTCAGATATTGCTTTTCAGGAATTATTCAGAATTTGCAATAATGTAATGTGTAACAAATTAGAAATGCTATCAAGTAAAGAACCCTCTTGCAAATCCTGCCTGTTTCCCCCCACTGTACTCTGTATGCACTTTGTTATTCTTTATAAAAAATAAAGATTTTATCAATTAATATTAACGCATTGCCTTCATTCGTAGCTGAGACAACATTTCTCAAGGGGTGTTGGCTGTCTTGAGTGCACCTCTAAAGGTGAAGTCAAACTGTTGGGAGAATCACAGTGCCAGCTATAACCTCACTGGTACTGGCAGCCAGTTTGCTGTGAAAATCTGGGCCCTTACTGTGCAAATAGGTTGGTACATAAGTACAACGTGAATTAAATAGAGCAGCGCTTCTAGGTCAGAGGTGAGGGGTAACCTATGGTGCCTGGAGGTTGCCCAGCCTGTCCAACAAACTTAAAAATTCAAGCAATATGACCTCCAGTCATGTTAACAATACCACACATACACTTTAGGGGATCACTGACTTTTCAAGAAAAGAGTTGTCATGTACTAGGGTTACAAATATTCAACTAGCTCAACAAATCAAGTTTTCAGAAAGGTAGCCCTGCTGATATTTGACATGGCTTGCTTTTTATAGCACCCTAAGTGTCTTTAAAATGTGCCACAAGACTATGCATTCATAGGACACAACTCCTCCCCTTTCTCAGCTTCACAACAGGCCTTTCCCCCCTCCAAAACATTCACAATGTACCTTCAGGAGCACACAATAAGCCACGCCAGCTTTATACTTCAGTGTAGCTTGCCAATTTATTTACAGAGAAATTGATTGCTCAGAAAAGATACATTCAATGTGAATAATACTAAACACAGAGAAGAAAAATCTCGCTATGACGTTCTGTTACTTCTGAATAATGTATATTAGTTTTATATAACAGCCTCCTAATCAAGAAACTTGTAAACTGCACCTAACTTTAAATCTGACTGGATTTCAATCAGGCTTACCTTGATTTCTCTTCACTGGAGACAAGCTATGCTGCCTTCATTGATGTACATTTCTTCATAACCTTCCACTGCAGATTTTACCATTGCTAATGCTGGGCCTCATACATTTTAAATCTTACTTCAGAAACAAAAACCTACAAATTGGGGTCACTATGGAAAATGGCAGCTGTATTGGTTATTTCAAACAACAGGAAAGTAGCTTTCTGTGAATCTTAGTTAGAAATAAATTAAAAGCCAGCAAAAAGCATGAATATACCACATTCCACCCGGTTCCAGTGAACACAAATAATTGCCATGGTTATAAACTGCAAGGAAAGATACCGAAGAATTTCCAAGGTGGCAGTGATTAATCAAGAGTACTGTAGTATAGACAAAGGGTGTGGAGCAGATAGATCCTTAAACTAAATGCAAGTCAGTAAGATAGCAATGCATTCAGTTCCACTGGATACTAAATGGAAATTCACATTATTTTCCCCCAAAGAAACCAATTAACAAGAAATAGACCTAGAAGCCTAAGACTATAAATGCACAGCTAGTATCAATTCTCTTCATGGAAATTTTGTCATGCACACTTGGTATTGCCAGCAACCATTTATTTTAATGAAGTGTGTTGATATCTTCCTAGCGTACTTCCACTTTAGCAGCTACAACTGCTATTTTATTATTTTTTTAATCCAGAAAAGATCTGCCTACTTTGACTAGACTGTACTGCAATGATTATACTCAACCTAACCATTGTCTGGGCTGTAATCCAATATGCAAGCCCCATTAAAGCCAATAAAGGAATATTGCTATCAGGATCAAACATGAACTTAACTTTGCAGCCAGGAATCTAAATCTTTGAAGGAGGAAAAACCCAGCACAATTGTTTCTTTAAGACTACCACTGCAACTTCCCCAGCAAGAACATTTCCTCTCACTCTTATTTTATTGCTTCGAGAAACATTCTCAAGGGGGCAAAGCTGCCATTTCTTTAAGAGCTTAAGAAATAACTTAATTGTCACTCAATGTATAGAAACTAGTCTGGAGGGTATCTGCCATTAGTAGCTCCTCACACACAAATTTACTCAGAGAAACTACATAGATTGGTTCTCCAATATCTACAATACATATTAAAAGTGAAAGGTAAGGATGACATGAATGTGGCTTTGACTCCAAGCAAGATGCTGATCTTAATAAACACGTTTTCTTTTAAGATACAATTCTGCATAATGTACTCCCGAGCCCTGAGTTTGCTGACCAACGTATTCCACTGGGCCATCTTCTGGAGTGGTGATGAGGTACGAAGAGCCCCGCTTTTCATTTCTTATTGGTGCCATCTAAACATCATAAAAATCCATTATTACAGCAATGTGTGTGCAGTTAAAGACTTTGTATAGCAGCCCTGACAAATTCTTAAGCTGCATTATGCATTTTCTGAACACTAGGTGGCAGCACAAGACATCAACCTAGCAACATGTAGGTGCCAACAGAGAAACAGACTAGTATGCAGAACTTTTCCAAATTGGTCTCTCTGCTTCTCTCTCTCTCTCTCTCTCTATAATATAAAAATTTGACTACATTTCATATGTATGTGTGAAGGAATTCTAGCTCATTTATTTATTGCACTTTCATCCTACTCATCCACTGCATCTGGAAAGCTGTACCTAACGAAATTTCTCATTTGCATACTATTTAAAAATACATGAGAATGCTGAAAGGCTATCCATCACAGATGTGTAGTGTAATTTATCGGCCGCTTCAGGAATATGCGTGCCAACTCTTTCCTCTTACCTTCAGTGGGTTTTGAGGCGCCAGTGGCAAAATGCCTGGATGGAAGGACCCCTGGGTGGCAGCGTAATACGATGGCATGACTTGCAAGTAGCTACTGAAGTCCCCATACACTCCACTATCAGATTCCTACACGGAGAAAACACAGAAAGGGAAACACTACGGTTGCTGGCCACTGAACAGAAACGGAGACATATTTCCGGGAGAAACGATTAATCATAAATTCTGTGACAGAAAGAGGAGAGTATCAATGTGCAGGCAACCCCCAATTTGCGCAGGGGTTGCAGTCCAGGTCATGATGTGTGACAGCAAGAGGGTGCATAAGCCCATTTGACTGTGCCTGCTTTTCCTACCACTTCCGGGTCTCTGCGATGTGCACGTGTGTAGTCACACCTCAAATGGACACACACAAATCTGTTGTTGCCTGTATTCAAAAGTACAGTGGTGCCTCGCAAGACGAAATTAATCCGTTCCGCGAGTCTCTTCGTCTTGCGGTTTTTTTCGTCTTGCGAAGCACGGCTATTAGCGGCTTAGCGGTTTTAAGAAAAAGGAAACAAACTTGCAAGACGTTTCGTCTTGCGAAGCAAGCCCATAGGGAAATTCGTCTTGCGGAACGACTCAAAAAACGGAAAACTCTTTCGTCTAGCGAGTTTTTCGTCTTGCGAGGCATTCGTCTTGCGGGGCACCACTGTAGTGTAAGTTTCTTAAAGGCAAAGTATCTCTGAGAATCTCCCTTTACTGTTTGGGGAGAGTGTATTTTTTTCCTCAGACTTCTGAGCCAGAAACATGGTCAGTACCAAACTTGGGAGATGTTCTACCCCAAACACCAATGAAAACCAATTCATTCTGTTTTTCAGATGCTGTAACCTTTGCTACATCACCTTGTTAAAATGCTTCCCTAAAATTACAGGCGTTTTGACAATGGTATTGAGATTTTGCTAGAGCCCAATGAACAATTTTCTTGATTTCCTGTGCCCAGATCAGCAAAGGAAAACTCAAGCAATTATAAATGCAGATCATGAACATAAGAGGAATGCACCTCATTCCATTAAAGGAATGTTTCTACTACCAACAAATACCTATCCTATAAATACCCTGGATAATTTTCATTTATGAAAAGAATCCCACAAAAAGGGAAATTCAGAATTCTACGGTTCACACTGCCTAGCCCCCCCCCCCACCTTTTAAGAAGGATAAGCTCAAGTTTGCAAAGAAAAAAAAAATTATTCAAATAGTGTTTGGTTACTTCATGGCACACAGGTGTCCTGAAGATTCTGAAATATGGTTACTGAAAGAACTTCAGGGAGAAAATTATAAGAAGTGCTATGTAATCTCGTTAGTTTGGTTGAATTTCAAAATCTAGCCTTGTTTACTGACAACCTTGACATAGGCTACTGGTGAAGCATACTGAATCATCATCCACTTACCTCTGAGCCACCATTTTCTAATTCCCCTACTCTAGTTTGGATGGTATGGTATGCCTGGGCATATTGTTGATACCACTGCTGGACTGAATCCTGCAAAAGACAAGGCAATTTTTAATTTATCAACTTCTGCAATTTCGCACCATGATTAATATGAGATATTAAAAGCACAAGCTTTGCAAAAACAAATACATATGCATGTTTTTGTTAATCTGGATCAATCTGCTCCATCTGAATGCAAGAGAAAGTTAAGGTGGTGCTTTCTCTGCTCCCTCTTACTTATTCTCTTTCATTTCCTATAGCTAATCACTCAGCAATATTTTGTGTTTTTATATGTGCTTACCTAGTTGATTCCTTGATTTATCAGCTTTAGTCCCCCAAAAATATCTAACAGGTTTATAACTTAAAGGTTTTTCAGGAAGTACTGGAAAATATTTAATACTCAGGGTTTTGAGATATTTTGACAATCATAATCCTATAATTTATGCAGTAATTTGCACAACTACAGGAGAATTAATAGATTGGCTCCATCTATTAGGCACATCCTTTAATTTAGAAAGAAACCAATACAGTCCCTGTGACAAATTTCGATTTGTGGAAAACAGCTCAAAGCATAAGAAAATTCTTGCCCATCTATTCCAGCATCCTGTTCTCAGGACCTTACTTAGTGTAACTGTTGTTGCAGTCATCCAAGTTTCTGCCCTTGCGTGCCTATCTGTATTTCTCAAATGTAAAATCCTGTGTCTTGGCTGAAAGATAACTTTGAGTATTACAGCAAATAATGCTTCTTGGCTAACAGGTTGTAATGTCTTTATACACTTGGATGAGAATGTCAATGTGACACGAACCGACTTAAACTCTGGCTTTTGAAAATATTTGAAAGACTAGTTGAAAACCAACCAGGCTGAAGTTGTCATGAGAGCCATTTTTAATGACCTGTTGGCCTCTATTATGTATACTGACTGACTGTCCAGAAAATAATAAAGAAGAGGATGAAAGGCCAACTAGAATTTGTGCAGGTTAGATAAACTGAGTTAAAACAGAAGACTAAATCCAAGTCTTGCCATCTGTTTAGCAACACTCATCACAAGCTAAGGTAGAATTTACTTAGAATGCTTGTTATTTCAATTTTTATATGAATAAATTTATATTTTATTATGTTTTATTTTATAAATGCTGTATTTGGTGAATTAATCGTTAGTTTTGCTGCACCCTGGCTTGCATAATCAATAACAAGCTAGTAGCTACAGTGTATTTATTTGAGGGGGGCTGGTCTGGTAAAAGCTAATTCAGCCCCATGTTCACAGAGGAAAAGGCGGCTTTCCCAGCAACATTCACAGTTCAGCACTTTTGGCGTGGATTAAATAAATTATGAGAAATGCCAGTGAGAAACTTAATCAAACCAGCTGATTATCAAATGCTCTTAATTCTCTCTTTCAGGATTCAATAAACTAAGCTGCTGTAGCAGCTCAACTAGATCAACTTCCCCCAAGCCTTAAAACAGTGTTGTACATGTGTGTCTGCATGCCATAGCTACTTCTCATCAGTGTCAGAAACTTCCTGAATGGAAAACAGTGCTGGTGATCCCTCTCGAGTTGTACTGGGTCTACAGGACATACTTTGCCATGTGGTTCCAGGTGCACTATTAGCAGCCCCTCACCAGTTTAGAATCATCTGCCTCACTGTGCTTCCATATTAAATGGTGCCATTTGTGTCTACTCCCATTAAATGTATGAAAAGCTGTTGACAGCAGGATTGTCTGCCAGCAGAGACCTACAGAATCCTGCTGTCAACAGTTTCCACAATTAGCAGCAACACACTCAAGGCAGACCAGGCACTTTAGAAGAAAGCAAATTCACAAGAACTAAAAAAGTGGCAAAATGCAGACAGGTAATAGTTACACTCTTCCCATTAATGTTCTATTCAAAACCGACACATAAACCATTTTATTCAACTTTATCACTTTCCTGCACAGAAAGGTTCATGACTCTGTGAATGGTATTCCAAAGCTTATACCATCCCTTACATCACACAAAACATTTACCAGCTAGAAATCTGACTCACTGTCTGATGCTTTTAATGCATGATAATTTATGGGTCTCCTTAAATGATCATCTGCCTAGAACCCAGTCATGCTTTTATAACAAACTCTGACCCAAACAAAACACACAGCCACCAGCTGCAATGAAACCATATTCAAGCCACATACCTGTGTGTAATCCTCATACTGCGGTGAATAGTTAAAATAGCTTTCCACCGGTTGTTGCGCTGTGGTTCCCTGAGCAGCTGCAGCACTGAGTGAGTTATTTGAAAGTCCGGCCTGCTGCTTAGTATTACTGGATTTGCTGGCAATTGCTGCTGCTCAAAAAAGAAAAAAAGCATTCTTACATGTCCTTTAAGATCGAAAACAAGGCTTCATCTAAAACAGAATGTTCACCATCAATCCATAGCCCCAAAGGCCAAAGCTAGGCTGAAAAAGGAAGGAGTGATGTTGAGCACTTGGTTATCACCCTGATTGAAGATCTTATTCTTCATTGAAGTATAAGTTCCCATGAAATTCTGGCAGTAATACAGAACAGGGCAATTTTGCTGACTAACTCTTAATATCAGAATCTAGGCCTTGATTGGAAGCCTCTACCAACACTTGGGAAGAGATAGAGCAGACATTTAAGTTTGTATAAAACTTTTTTCCTGTCTTTTCACTACTATTCTGCCTTCTATATATGCTTCTGTATCATCATGGAGCCCTAGGTTCCTGATTAAAAAGTTCTGATTTAAAGGAGTAGGTTGTAGTCATTTACTTAAGTTATAACTGGGATTCACAGTTCCTCAACTTCCGATATATAGGGAGCATGACAGACAGATGGTAAGGCACCAGGCCAGATCAAATGCAGAGGCTCAGAGGCTTTTTGTAGAGGAGAATCAGGGGGTAAGGAGCAAATGCTCTCTTGAGGCTGTTTTCCCCTCAGCCAGGAACCTAGCTGGGAGAAAATGAGCTAAAAATGGCATAGAGCATTTGTGGTGAACGATCAGTGGAATACGCAAAGCACTAGGACTGCCAATTCTCACCATAAATGCCTCCCCACCTCTGCGCATTTGCACAAGGATGGAAACCCCCATGTTTGTCTCATAATGGGTAAGCTCTGGCCTTAGGGCTAAACTGCATATTATGTTGGAGCTTTGTTTTTGGTGCTTCCAAGTAAATCCTTTCTGTAAAAACAGCTGTAGGGGGCTCCCATTTTTAACTGGGACTATGGGCATTCAGTGAGGGTTGTCCCACTGTACCCTACCCTATTGCAGTTCTGAAACTCACACACACGCATAGTTGCAATTAGCTGCAGAGGCAAAACTAGCAGAATTAAATTAAGACACACGTTTCCCCTTGCAACTAATAGCAGCTCATGGAGTGGAGGCTTTGGTGTGCACAGGAAGAATTAAGATACACGCCCCCCTCCCCCCACCTCACCCGTGGGCCTAATCCAAAGTGGGTGGGCCCTGCTGCCGCTTGGCAAGTCAACAAAACATGTAGTATTTTGGCTTTCATTATCAGCATTTTCTTGGAGTTAAATAGGTGGGACACTGACTGTTATGTGCAATGTAACGTGTTCCAGACACACAGTTTAGTTGAGACCGTGGATGAGTTAGTTTGATTATATGAAATTAGATTAAGAAGGCAAAATCCAGTGAAGGTGAGTGGTGCATGCTCTAGTAATCTTCCACTTGGATTACTTCAATGCGCTCTACGTGGGGCTACCTTTGAAGGTGACCCAGAAACTGCAATTAATCCAGAATGCGACTGGTGACTGGGAGCGGCCGCCGAGACCACATAACACCGGTCCTGAAAGAACTACATTGGTACCCAGTATGTTTCCGGGCACAATTCAAAGTGTTGGTGCTGACCTTTAAAGCCCTAAACAGCCTTGGCCCAGAATACCTGATAATTTTTTCTTTTAATGGTAATCTTCTTAAAATGATTTCTTTTTAAGTAATTTGAAATACCGCGGTCGCTGGCATTATTTACAACTACAGTAACCACACTCTCCCTCTTGAGAAAACCTTCAGAGGCACCGGTTACCTGCTTACCTGAAAGACAGACTGAAGGCAGCACACTTGCTAAGTTCAAGTAGGGATTGGTACTCAGATGGATTTCCTTGGGAGGTTCTCCCAGCAGAGAGGTCTGGTTTTTTGAAGAACTCTGAAGTAAAAAGTGAATAAAATTCGACACTTCTACTAAAGGTTGAACAACATAAAAAAAAATACATTTTGAACAGATATTGAAATTAAACATCCTATTAGGGAAATTTTACTTCTCATAACATAGACCCAAAGAGCTGAAGAGATTCAGGCTGCAATTCTATAATCCTATATAAGGAAGGAAACAGTAAATCAGCATTATGGCAATCAGCTGTTTAGGGTGGGTGCCTATGTGAAGATGAAGAGAGAAAATGGGTATAGAAACAAACAAAACAAAACAAAAGGGTCCAAGAATAATATTCAACTGTGTTATCCTGTTTGTGCAGTGGACTTCTGCTTCTATAAATGGGATTTAACCTTTCCTCTCTTCCTCACCCTCCTTCATGGATCACTGCCTTGTCATGGGAGAAAAGCAATGACAAACCTAGACAGCATATTAAAAAGTAGAGACATCACCTTGCCAACAAAGGTCCGTATAGTAAAAGCTATGGTTTTCCCAGTAGTGATGTATGGAAGTGAGAGCTGGACCATAAAGAAGGCTGATCGCCAAAGAATTGATGCTTTTGAATTATGGTGCTGGAGGAGACTCTTGAGAGTCCCATGGACTGCAAAAAGACCAAACCTATCCATTCTGAAGGAAATCAGCCCTGAGTGCTCACTGGAAGGATGGATCCTGAAGCTGAAGCTCCAATACTTTGGCCACCTCATGAAAAGACCCTGATGTTGGGAAAGATGGAGGGCACAAGGAGAAGGGGACGACAGAGGACAAGATGGTTGGACAGTGTTCTCGAAGCTACCAGCATGAGTTTGACCGAGCTGCGGGAGGCAGTGGAAGACAGAGCCTGGCGTGCTCTGGTCCATGGGGTCACGAAGAGTCGGACATGACTAAATGACAACAACTCTTCCTCACTACATTATCCTCATTTATGCATTCTCTGGTGGGTTGGGAGACACACCCAGATGTGAGCAGGACAGGGGAGAGGAGCAAGAGGAAGTTGCATTTCATTTACAGGCGCCATATTGAATCTTGCCCCCACTCTGAATTTTCATAAGTTGTGTATGCATAAGGCGTGAATGGATAAGAATTGTATGACTCTTCCTCACTTTCCAGTCATTGTTTCTTGAAAGACAAAGGAAGAACCACGGGTCAGGTTTGTATCAACACAGCAAAAAAATACATCTATTTACTCCTAGCGGACGTCTTGCAAACCACCACTTACATGGAAATTATGTTAATGCAAAAAGGCTCCAGTTAAAAATGTGTTTCCAAAGTAACCTGCATTTATTCCTTGCCCAAGAATAAACACTCTTCCCTCTCCATAACACTCTTGATATGACTAAAATCAATTTAGATTTCAAATCTTGGTTAAGATTTTATGGGGGTTTGTTGTGTTGTTGTTGTAGTAGTTGAAAGAGACCCTGAGGGTCATCTAGTCGAACCTCCTGGAATGCAGGAATCACAACAAAAGCATCCATGACCCATAGCCATATTCATGCATTCATTTGTTCGTTCGTTTATTTAAGCCTGTTTCAGATAATTGCAGTTAATGTCACTGGCAATGATAATGCAGTGTTGCACTGTGGTTAATATAGGCAGTGGAATTCAATGCAATCAATGTAAAGTGCTGATGATATCGTGACCTAACTCTTCTTAACTGCAGTTTAGAAAGCCCATTTAATTATCTCTGCACTGGTCCCAATGCACTGTTTTGAAATTTTAACTAAATATAATATACTTTACATTATAAAAGAAACATTGATTATCTATACATCAGATTCTGCTGCACAATAAAACCCCCACACAGAATAATTACAAATATAAAATTTCAGCTGGGTAGTTATTATTAAACAGCACTAACATGTCATCTCCTGCAAGAATAAGAGAAGTGGTTTTAAATCCATGTGAAATTAAGAATGAGCAGTAATGGAAATATTACATGAAGGTGTTATTTCCTATGGACTTTAACAACACCAGCACCCGAATGGAACTGCAATACAGTCATACTTTGGATCCCAAACACCTTGGCCCTCAAATGCTGCAAACCCGGAAGTGAGTGTTCCGGTTTGCAAACGTTCTTTGGAACCTGAACGTCCAGTGGGGCTTCTGATTGGCTGCAGGAGCTTCCTGCAAGCAATCAGAAGCCATGCTTTGGTTTCCAAATGTTTTGGAATCCAAACAGACTTCCGGAATGGATTCCATTCGACTTCCAAGGTACGACTGTACTGAACTTACAAAATTTATACACCTCTTGAATGTAAAGAGAAGCAAAATAAATTTGAAGCAGTTTACAATGATAATAAAACAAAGTTATCAGTAAAAACAAGTTTTAAAAACATTTTTTTTTTCAAAATAATGTACTCAACTTCTTACCCCCAAGCTTGAATCTGGGCTCTTTGCCTGGCCTTGTTGCTTGAGATGTCCCGCCCGTAAGCCTCCAGCAGCGACATTTGGTAAGCTTTGCAGGTAACCCTGGGACCCTGAGCCAGTGCCTTCTGTCAGTCCTACTGCGGTTGACAGCTTGTCCTGCGTGTTGTTTTGCCTTGGCACTGCTTGTCCAGATACATGCTGATTTGGAAAGAATGGCAACATGCCAATCCCTGTTGCAACCGGCGTTTGAGCTGCAGTCCGATTAGATACTGCGCAGCCAACCATAAATGGAAAAAAAGGAAGCTATATTAGGCAAGAATTATTACTAGAACATCATGCTCATGTAGTTTATTATGTGAAAAACACTGAGAAATCTATTTAAATGATTGCAACAGAAAAGATAATACTAGTGGCTGGCAAGGAAATGCATTAAAACTCAAAAGACTCTCTAACTTTGCTATTTATACAACTGGTCTTACACCTTAACCGTTGCTAGCGACTGAAAAGGGGGATCTTGTGCTTTAAAATTTCACAGAGAAGAATTAAAAGAGGATGCCTTAGGCAAGAAAGCATTAGGAAGAATCTTCTGTGGTGAAGGAGAAAGCTACGGCGCTTCATACCTTAAAACATCTGAATTGTCAAGTAATATGAGGGCCACCATCTGCTAACAAGAGGAACGTAAGACATAGACTCCTTCCAGAACTGCCATCACATACTGGCCATTCCAGCCCAGCAGTATGTCAGTCCACCTCCTCTTTATTACAGAGGAAACAATTTGGACTTACAATAAAATGGTGCCAGCCACGCTTTCCTTCAGGCCCTCCTGCCCCTGCCCCCGTTTCCTGTCCGTCCACCCCCACCCCTGAGCCATGGGACTAGCCAAGGGGGGACAGGGAGGGGCAGCTGCCACCCTAGATCAAGCAAAGCGATAGAAATACTTAACTGACCAATCATGATGGTCCTGCCCCACCAAATCCTGGCTACGCCCATGCCCCCATTCCAAAGACATTCATTGCTCTGTAAGTAAACAGGGTGTGACAGAGGAAGTGGGAATTGCAAAACATGGAAGCCTCTTGAAGGAACATGGGTAGAACTGGAGGCGGAGCTTTCATTAAGACAATATATATATTTAATACATGGCGATACGCCCATTGTTTTTTCTGCTGCCTTCTTCCACACAGGCCAAGGTTGCGTGTTCAATCCCTGTATGTGGCAACTGCATAGTTCTGCATTTGGTTTGGACTGGATGATGCTCAGGGTCCCTTCTAACTCTGCAATTCTATGATTATTTACCGGTAACTTTATCCTGTAACAGGATTGCAGTCCCTCCACCAGGTATTTGAAATCCGCCATGGCAAACAACCATAGCTACCCATAAACTGTCTTCGTTAAACATTCTCGTTTCTAACACAGTTGCTAAAACAAAGCCAAGAGCATGCTATCTAAAGGGGCTGCTGTTCTTAATTATATATGCACTGCGGGAAATCCTTTTTTTAGCTCAAGGGTCACATTCCCTCATGGACAACCTTCCAGGGGCCACATGCAAAAGTGGGTGGAGCAACGACTATGGCTCTTTACCTTGGTTCAGTGGGCTGCATTCTACAACAGGCTACAGTCCTACCACATAAAAAGTCAGAGGTATCTGCATGCACCTATACCCCTCCACACAAACATTGTTCAATTCCGGCAAGCAAGAGCCATTTACACAGTTCAAAGACACATTCGAGGCAGAGAAAAGCACTTGCGCAGCAGGTCCATTGAGGGTCATAACCCTGAAACAGAGGGCCACCCATGGCCAAGGAATATGCCCTGGGAAAGAGTCCTGAAAGCCAAGACTGAGGGGCCTGGAAAGCTGCATTAGGCTTCCAGGACTGAGGTTCACCACCTGAGTCAGAAGCATATTTTCGAAGCGGGAGTTTGCTACTATAACAGCAATCGAAATGTTACTTGCAATTGCGTGCTTCTCCGTGACTCCCCATGTCTGTGGTCACTGACGGCACAGCACCCATTCCTAACATTGTCTGAAGCAGCACACCTGGAGGTTCTCCAAGCAAGCCTGGTTTCTGCAAAGAAGTACAAAAGAATTGCATACGTTTAAGAGATGCCTTAGTAGACTTGTTTCTCAGCCTTTCAAATGCAGGTAATTTATTTGAGTATACTACTGGATTAACAGAAGACCAAAGAAGCAAGGAAACATTTAGTGTGCAACAAGATAACATTCTCTAGGAGGAAGACTTCCCCACTATCTAATCCAGAATTATAGACTAAAGGAGATTACTACAGGTTTATTATGGTCAGTCTAAGATTTCAACTCACACTATTTGTCTGAATATTCTCAAGCTTCGCTAGTTGTGCCAGCTGTAAATTGGAAAGGTTCTGTAGCAGCAAACTAGATGCATTTCCAAGAACTGGTCCCTGTCAGTTTCAAGTGGGAGGGGAGAAATGAGTTATATATGAAACCAGCATTATTCAGATACAGAAGAAGAAATATTTTCATATGTCTGTCAGAAAACTCTACAATCTCAGTTTAAAGAAAGGTAAATTCAAGAGCTACATTAATTATCTGCTTTTGTCAATTCATAATTCTGTTAAGAGGTTATTTAAAGTTACTCTATTATTCGGGATAGTCTCCATTATAAATTGGAAGAACTATCTATTCCCTTCTTTTTTTATACTACCTAAAGTCCCCTGCAGCAATCACTTTGAACCTCAAAGCATTTAATCTGCTCCCCCGCTCCCCTCAACGTTTGTTTCAATAGATGACATTGGACTTATACATTCTTCAAACAAAACAACTTTATCAAAAACACATTTGGAAGTAAACTGCAGTATAACACAGATAAAGGGAGCTGCCAACTTTCTTCAACCAATTACATAAAAACAAAACCACTGGATTCTAAAGAAGCTGCAGCAATTTAAATCAGTCAGGAGTTAAGTATAAAAATAAATCTTTCAGCAATGATATCACAAGTATGGTGTTAAACAAAATATAGCTGATTATATGACAGTTTAATTAATCTTTCTGGGTCAAGTTTAATGACTCATTTAAACCATAATTCTTCCGTTAAGTATAATCAGGGCAGAATTCTGCTGCAAAGAAAAAGCACCTCCTTGTTTGGTCGTTGCATACCTAATCCAAGGCTGGATTCTCAAGCCTCATCAGTCAAACATGCCTCCTCACTGTCATTTGAGGAAAGGCATTCCTGTTCCTTTGCAAAGCAGTTACATAATTGGCAAAGACCATAGAGATGAACACCAATGACATGTATTTGGGAAAGGGTTACTTTTTAAAATGCAACCATGCAACATGTGTTTCCAGTGATACTTCCCGGGGGGGGGGGGGAGACTTTCTTAGGGTATAAACAAAAGTCCTACATAATAGCGGTAACAGCTAACACCTACACAACTTTAGCAGTTACACTTCCAAATGCAGAAGTGTGACTGACCCTCTGATCTGCCGAGTGCGAATCAACGTTATACCTATTCTCTCTCTCTTCTGGTTTAGAAAACAAACAAAAACAAAAATCCAAATGCTTCAGCGTTATTTCTAGAAAAGTGAAACAAGGCTTATTATCTTTAGATTCATGTTTCCTTATAGACAGTCTGTTAAGAGAACAAGTTGGAGGCTTAGCATGTGTTTTGCTTTAGCCATACAATAGAATTTTAAAGGGAAACGCTATATTCGCTTTATGGTTTATACTTTACTTCTCCCTCCTCCAAACTTTAGAACAATCTGTCATTGTGGGTCAAGTAAAAAATCCCAAGATTTCATGCTGTCTCAGACAGTTCAAAATGAGGTCATGCTTTGAACATCTCCCTAACTGAAAGATGCTTTATTTTAACAGGTCCTTTTCTTTGTCTGCTGTTTAATGAATAAATCAGTGATATTTGGGCCTTTTCTCTCTCTTTTGAGAGTGTATTTAGGAAAGCAAGCATTATTCTATTGCATTGTAAGATGATATACCATATATACCGACCCAAATATAAGCCGAGGCACCTAATTTTAGCACAAAAAACTGGGAAAACTTATTGACTCGAGTATAAGCTGGTTCACCACACCACAAACCTGGTGGTGGCAGCAGCAGTGGAGGAAGAACAAGCAGCCCGAAAAGGCTGCTTTTGGGCTGCTCGTTCCTCCTCCTCCACTGCTGACAGCGGCAAAGGAGGAGGAAGGAGCAGCCTGAAAGGGCTCCTTTCGGGCAGCTCATCCCCCCGCCGCCACCTCTGATGCTTGCAAAAGCAGGCATAGGAGCCGTGGTTGGGAGAGGCACGGCACAGCGCCTCTCCCAACCATGGCTCCAGTGCCTGCCCTTGAGAGATGGGTGGCGGTGGCGGTACCAGCAGCGAGAAAGGGCTCCTTTTGGGCCGCTGGTCCCTCCGCAGCCACCGCCCGCCTCACTCAAGTATAAGCCAAGGGGGGCTTTTTCAGCATAAAAATGTGCTGAAAAAGTCGGCTTATACTCGAGTAAGAATTCCAACGATATTTCAGCACTCCATTCTGAAGTGTGGATCATAAAATATATTATTGTTATTATATGAGAAGTCAATGAAAACAGGTGGTATTCAACTAAAGCAAGCATAGGCAAACTCGGCCGTCCAGAAGTTTTGGGACTACGACTCCCATCATGCCTAGCTAACAGGACCAGTGGTCAGGGATGATGGGAGTTGTAGTCTCAAAAGATCTAGAGAGCAGAGTTTCGGGGGTGCCTGAACTAAAGAGCTGCACAAGCAAAGTAAGATCCAGTTGCACAATGGAACTTCCTTCCTTTCTTATCCATGTGCCATCCCCAAATCTGTTCTGCTGGGTTGGGGAAAACCCCGTAACAGATCTGGTGGGGATGGGGAGAATGTTCCATTGCACAAGAAGAAATATTTGCACTGAAGCAATGTTCCCCTTAATGCTATATTGACTACAACCCTAGCATACAATTGACATTTTGCATTAGCTGCACGTGAATTCTCACTGTGCATGTTGACTTAAATTACTTTGTGAAAATATTTTATATCAGCTTATAGACATACCTGATGAACATTGTTGAAATGCAAAAAGGCTGGGTTGATTGATGGGTTTACAAGGTGGGGCACACTCATGGGAGCTCCAAGGACTGCTTTAGAGTAAACAGATTGTCATATTTATTATAAATCCACAGCACTTAATGCCTGTATATATAAACAGTATGAATAATTGCTATAAACGCCACAATTTCCTTGCTATTTTTTAATTGTTCTGCTAGATGTGTAAATAGCTAAGTCGTCATCATTTGCAAAAAATGCTAAATCATGGTTTTGTTGGAATGAACCCAAACAAAATCGAGGGCTCCTTGCCTCTCCTCCTCTCACAGAGAAGTTCAGCTTAGAATCTCTGCTTGTTGTTGCATACAAACCAGAGATTAAGGCCTGTCACAAACTCTGGTTAGTTAACAAGGCTACCTTCAAAAGCTACGTTTTGAACATGTCTTATTTTGAAAATGACCAGTCTGTTTTAAACCAGAGATCTGGTTCACATGACACAAGCTAGATGAAAAGTGAAACTCAACATTTGTATAGTCTCATAGACACAGAAGAAAGGAAGAGTGGAGCGCTCAAGTTTAAGGCTTTGCTTAGGCTTGTCATTAGCTTTTGCACGTAGCAATAAACCATTGCATTACTTGTAAATTGGGCCAATGAAACTTCTTCATATGCCTTACAGTTGCTTGCACTTCACATTGGATTTGCTTTGGTACAGTCATACCTCGTGTTTCGTCTTTTCGTGTTACATCCTGCGGCAACCCGGAAGTACCGGAACGGGTTACTTCCAGGTTTCGCTGCTCGCGCATGCGCAGAAGTGCCAAATCGTGCCATGCACTTCGAGTTGTGAGCATTTCATGTTACGGACGGGCCTCCGGAACGGATCCCGTCCATAACACGAGGTACCACTGTATTTAGTAGCATGCAGACAAAACTGACAATTCCTCTTAGGTGCGAATTTTCCTATCTCCTCCCCCCCCCCCCCAATTTAATGACAATGTGAAGTCCTTGAATGCTGATAACAATGAACACGTCCTGGCAGTTTTTGTCCAGTTGGCCACAAAGAAGAAAGCACACCAATTAGAGAATGATACAGTTTAGAGTTACTTCTGCTGGTGAAAGACTATGGAAGCCAATGCAGAATCTGAAAGGGGTGAAACAAAATCTCCTTTTTGATTCTTAAGAACTGTACAGTTGCATTTAATTATGCACCAGCCATAGCTAATATAAAGGGAAAGCACACATGAGCTTTTGGAGGTAAAGCAGAGCAAGCCAACTTTGCACACTCTGCTTGGCACGGAAATGAGTTTTCACTTGAGCAGCACTCAACACAGCTTGTGCTGCTACACGAAAAGCAAATATGCAGCAGTATGGCTATCGGGCTAATTCTTGATGTTCCAATTTTGAAAACATATTAAAGCTAGAATTAGTGAAACACAGAAAAACAAACCCTGCTGAGCAAAGTATCACCAAAGCTTTTGTGGGTATTCGGAAGAGTCAACCGGTATATCCCATGGATGATCCAGAAAGCATTTTTTACAAAGAAAAAGAGGAGGACAAGTTCTCTTACGGATCTGTAACTGGTTCAAGGAGTCAGAACACAGGAATAAATGGATAGTTTCTATAAAGCAAGCAAGCAGTGAGGTCCTCCAAGGATATGTGAATTAGGGCCAATGCAATGCAAGGATCACAAGAACGTGGCCCCAGAACCTGTTTTTGATACACCAAGTCTGTATTCAAAAGCCATTACTAAGGTGGAGACTTTTCCCCACTTCAGATATACTGTAGATAGATAGATAGATAGATAGATAGATAGATAGATAGATATAGATAGATAGAGACGGAGACAGACAGATATATTTAAAAAATCTTACCAAGTTTATTCGAACATCCATGTAACTGGGGTTGCAACAACATTTGTAACATCGCTGGGGTATTTAAGCTTTTCATAATTTGCACTGCATTTGGTTCAGGAAGCAAACCTTTTCTGTTGTTCCTCATCTTGAATTATAAAGAAATAGGGGAAAAAGTCAGATTCTCTCCCAAGATAGAAGAAAGTTCATTTTGTAAAGCAGAGTTGCTTGCATATAGCTGTTGAACTTCAAGTAGCTTCTCAGTCACATGTAAGACTGAACACATTGAGGAATCTTTTGTAACTCTGCCAGAGGCTAGAGATGCTCCCATTTTCCCTTCTAGCCATTTAGATTTCAATTACTGCATACAGTGGTGCCTCGCAAGACGAAATTAATCCGTTCCGCGAGTCTCTTCGTCTAGCGGTTTTTTCGTCTTGCGAAGCAACCCTATTAGCGGCTTAGCGGTTTAGCGGCTATTAAAGGCTTAGCGGCTTAGCGGCTAAAAGGCTATTAGCGGCTTAGAAAAAGGGGGGGGGAAGCGAAAAAAATCGCAAGACTCACAAGACTTTTTCGTTTTGCGAAGCAAGCCCATAGGGAAATTCGTCTTGCGAAGCGCATCGAAAAACGGAAAACCCTTTCGTCTAGCGGGTTTTTTGTCTTGCGAGGCATTCGTCTTGCGGGGCACCACTGTATATGCTTATTAAAGGTAAGGATCTGTGGCTGCAAGGGGCATCACTTCATGAACATTTACAAACAGGCAATCTTATTTTTTACTTTGTGGCTTCCAAGCAGTCATGATAAGAGACAGTAAGATGAGCAGGCTGTCTTAATTATATGCACTGTCAAAGCTAATAATATTAACTGTAATCTCGGATAGTCTTTTACAAATAAGCCTCTCTCAAACTCAGGTTCCCAAATGTTTTTGGACTACTACTCCTATCATCCCTGACTGCTGCCCCTGTTGCCTATGGATGATGGGAGTGGCAGTCCAACAAAATATGGGAACCCAAAGTTGAGAAAGGCTGTGGTAGATACTCAAAACTGGTCTAAGAAAATATTTAACCAAAGACAAAACTACCTATGTACTATCACAATGAAAATATTCAAAGATAACATAAAGTCCCCATAACTATTTCACTACTACTCTATGAATATATATAAAAAATAGAACCTACGTTGTTTATTGAAAATACATGTCAACCAATCAAATCACTAGGTTAGATTATGTTACTCATATCTTTCTATATCTGCCAACACCACTGATATAGACACTTTTTAACTTTTCCTTCCTTCCACATCACTGTACTGTACCTTTCTTTGTTAATTCAGTACTTTTCAACAGGGCCCATTTTATATTTAATCCTTAACACAAGGCATAACCTTAAACCACACCAAATGATTGGTCCATCTGACTTAGTATTATCTAATTTTAATTGGCAGGGGTTTCCAGGGTTCCAGACAACCCTATCTGGAGTTGCCAGAGATTAAAATTGGGACCATTTGGTATTAGAGAGCATTGAGTCACGTAACCTTAAACATTTACTTCCAAAGGAAGGAGGAACAATACTTGTGCATTAGGCACAGTTCAATTAGCACCAATTTCCACAAAGTATGGAAGCATAATTCCAATACCACTTTGACACACACAACCCAACTGTGTGTACTTGACATCAAAATATGTCTAACCTGTCTAAAAATTCAAGAAAACAAGCAGCCAATATTTGCCCAACTGCTCCTCTCTTCTGGAACTAAGACCAATACTGGATTTTACTAGAGAATATATTTTATCAGACAAGACCACCTGATCACTAGCACCAATCTGAATTGCAGCTTAACACACTGCTTCTCTGCCACAGGCCATGGTCTCTCACAGTGAGAAGAGATCCCAGTTTCAGATCAAGGTATTGAGCCTGACTGCCAGTGTGAAAGTGTTCCAGCTTGAGAAAGATGGCCGTGTAAAACCATGGTTCTTTCTTATTCAGTGCACATTTATCTATTGATATCATTTTATTTTGAAGGAATCAATGTTTGTATGTGTGTAACTTCCTAGTGAACTCTTAACTGTTCCAACAAAATAGAGTCTCCATGAAAGGCCTGGTCACACAGCCAATTCTCCTCGTGAGAGGACTGTGAAATCAGAAACTGGAAAATTTCCAATTTTCCAATGGGTTACCAGTGGGTTACACGAGCACACACATCCAAGAACAAAGGAGTTGAGATTTTAGCAGCCTGTTTCTCAGCATGTCGGCATTACATTCTAATAAAAAATAAAACTCTGTTTTTCTCATTTTGAGGTATTATTGGGCTGTGCTTCAGTGGTTTCATATGCAAAATGGAATCCCAAGGTTCTTCATTTTAAAAAAAATCTGGCTGGCATCCTAGATGTAGGTGATATGCAAGGCTTTTGCACCAAGGTCCAGTATGCGAGTGCCAAAGTTGCTTTGCCCTACATGGCATCTTGCTCTTCTTTTGTTTATCAAGCCGTATTATACTCCACATTACTCATTTGTGCTACCTATTGCTTTCATTCTTCCTTTCGATTGCCATGTCATACTGGCCATTGCCAGAAAATTCAAAATTGGGTGAGAGGGAAAAGAACATTATGTCCTAAGGAAGTTTGTGAGTCACTATTACATACGCAGTGGAATTCATTCTGATCTAAGGCTGCATACAAAAATCACAACTTCCAGTAATACCTCGCTACCCAACATTCCGAGGAATAATCTCTTATGACAAGCAAGGCATGAAAGCCTCACTCCTCATCAAGCATGAAATTAAGCCAACTCCACTATCCTGAAATTGTTGTATACTTCTCCGCTTTTTGGTCAGTACCATGCCTACTAGCACCGCCTGTTTTTAACATGGCATAGCACTCTCTTATGGAAGCAATTCTTTCCAAAATTGCTTAACTACAGTGCTCTGAAGCGTCAGACAAAACTCAATAACCACCCCCTCTGGCCTTTGTGTTTTTAAATACCAAAGAGTTTAGACAAAATTAGGTAGCTAGACCTAATCCATCAAGGGGAACATTCTAGGCATATATACAGGTGCCTTTGGCTCAAATTTCAGGAGAGATTTTATTGGCTTGTAGTTCAGGAAAAAAATTGCAAGAATCACCATATCATACGCTAGTGATGCAAACAAGGTGGGAGAGAAAACCTGGGAAAACCACAGTGTTTATAACTAAGAACAGTTTTATCAGGAGCCCAGTTAAGAAGTAAACCAAATTGTGACTTAGCAAGAATGAGTAGCTGTGTGAGTTTCCATGGAGAAAACCACAACCACTTTACTCCTCCGCAACTTCTGTCGCTGCCATGCTACGCAGAACTAAGTAATGATTTGGTTTAGTTCTACACACAAATCTGGGCTCCCGGGTTGTCTCACTCTCAACAAACCATGAGCCTTAACCAAAGTTTGTTCACGGCTTACTGCTCATCACTCCTTTCTGGGAGACAAACTATGAGCACAAGTTCACACGTAATGCTAAGCCATAATTTTGGTAGCTAAGTAGCAAAGCAGCCATGATTTGCCCCCAGAGTAGTCACATGCTCGTTCATTCTTGCCAAGTCAAGAGTGGGTATCTGCATACTTGTTCGTTCTTGCTAAATCATGACCTGGGTCAGTACTATGTATGAACAAAGCCACTAATTGCCTACCATGCCCAAAGATACAGCCATCATATAAATATATAATTCAGTTTTTTATGTCCAGTGTCCTAAATGCATTTGTCACATGTTTTTCCCGGGGGGGGTGGTGGTGTGGTACAGTCTCTTACCATGCGTTGTGCTGCTATAAGTGTAGCAAGAGTTCCACGCCCTGGAGCTCCCGGAGCACAATAAGAAACATGCACTCTCTTCTCTCTGAAAGTCAAGCCATCTGTGCCTTGCTGGACTTCCTCTGCCTGCTCTGCTGTCTCATACTCAACGACTGCAAAGCCATCAACCGAGCTATCTTCATCCTGAGCAAGCTGAAGGGACATTTCACAACACAATGAATGAAGTACATGCTCTCTATATCAGTTTCCAGACAGCACTATATCCTTCCACCTCAAGCACGAACCACCTGTGAAAAATACTAAGTAATGTGTTTCTAAGACCAGATTAACATTGCTGATCACTCCTCCCTCCAAGCTAAATTTAATACACAAATATTTTGCAGATGACAGCCACACAGAACTGTACTTGAATTACTGCTGCCCTGCCATCTAATCTCATGAAGAACTTGAGCTATGAAATAAATTTGACAGTTATTTTATGGAGCATTAAGGGACGGAATTAAACTGGGGATTATTTTGAAACCATGGGCACATTCCCCGCCCCCCCCCTTGCATTTCTTTCCTATGGGTGAGGAATACTAATTTTTTTCATGTACAGTTTGGCTGAAAAGTTTTGCATTTTAAATAATATGAAAAACTGCAGTGGTGACATCTGCAAAATTCAATGAAATTCTAGCTGGTGGTATATATTTAGTTTTGACACCTCAGTTATTGGCGGAGGTACAGGAAACCAACTGCTTTGCACACGTGCAAATGTTAGTTTTCTTGCTTCTTTGCAGGATTGCAGCAGTCTCCCGAAAACGCACCAGAAGCTGCCTTTTAAATAGCCATGTTACAAAAGCTGTTTGCGTTTCACTAGAGGTGAGAGTTATGCTGCAGTAAAGGAGAAGGAGAAGGAGGAGGAGGAGGAGGGGAAAGACCTTGATATTTGGCCAGAGGAAAGAATTTGGCACATGTACCCTTCTGGATCACCACCAACAACTTAAGACTTATTTCAGTAGCATTTACTGTCACATAAGTATTCCCTAGGAAGATATGGATGGCGTCAGTTTTATGTAATTATCAAATCGACTAGTGAAAAGCAGGGATTGTTTGTTGGATACAACGTCCAACCAGTGTTACAAAGCTTAGTAATACAATTAACATATGTTACAATAAAAATAGTAAAATGAATAAAAACTAGCTGCATTTCTATATATCTTGAAGGTTCCACAGTGAACTACCGTATTTTTTGCTCTATAAGACTCACTTTTTCCCTCCTAAAAAGTAAGGGGAAATGTGTGTGCGTCTTATGGAGCGAATGCAGGCTGCGCAGCTATCCCAGAAGCCAGAACAGCAAGAGGGATCGCTGCTTTCGCTGTGCAGCGATCCCTCTTGCTGTTCTGGCTTCTGGGATTCAGAATATTTTTTTCTTGTTTTCCTCCTCCAAAAACTAGGTGTGTCTTATGGTCTGGTGCGTCTTATAGAGCGAAAAATACGGTAATTTATTTGTATCCCATTTTCAAAACATCTAAAACGATTTTGTCTCACAGGAAATATAGAGCTCATCAGGGCTTATTTCATGCCAGCTGAAAGCTTCTGCCCTTTGATAAACATGCATCAGCTGTTTATTTTGTCTTATGGAATCACTCTGGAACAACATTAAAAACATAATAGGTATAATCAACCGGTGCAAACCCTATCAAAATGCATTGAAGTTTCATAATAAACCATGCCTATCAACCAAAAATATCCTAAAATATATCCTTAAGCCACAAAGGTGGCTGTAAAAAAACACACCAACCCAACATATTTATATACTTAGACAATAATATTGTGACAGGTCAAAGAGATAGGAAGCAGTGTACATTCTTCCAAAACTACATGTAAACAAAACTGGAATAATGTTTAGAAAAAAATAACATCTGTGACTAAACAGCCCACAGCTGAAATAGTCTAAGACAAACGTATCTCCAACATATATTAAGAGAAGGGGCTAGTTTAAATTAGTTTAAAAGGAAGAGGTAGGGAAGAAAGAAAAATATTAAATATAAGGATGTTTCTCAGCACAATGGAAATAACTATGAACACATGGAGCAGTCTTGTGGCATCTAGTCCAGTATACTGATCACCGTGGTCTCAAGCAGAAGACCTTCTAAGTTCTGGCTTTCAATATATTTTTAACTGGAAATCCTGGAGCTTAAGTCTGGCACCTTCTCCATGCAAACATATACTTTACCCACTGAGCTATAGTCCCCTCTCCAATACTATAAACAAGCAGTATTAAATTGTCTAATCCCATTCACCCCCTTCAAAACAAAGGTGATGTTCTTGCCCCTGTCTTTTCTAGTATCCAAAGAGATTGCCAACTGAAGTCTACTGAAGGGGAGGGGGGACTACAGAGAGTTTTCTGGAATCTTGAAGTCTAGCAGACTTCTTGCGGCACAAGTTTTCATGAATTTGAGACAACTTCATCAGATGTCTCAATTGCTTTCCTCAGTCAGTAGGTTATCTTTACCAATTTACAGTAAATGATTTCTAAATTCCAATTTGGGGTTCTAAAATATAACATTTTTATATATACTGAGGGAGCTTTATTCTGTTGTTTCCGACTCCCCTCCCCTGAAATACCAGAAACTCTAAGATTTATAAGTAAAAGTTTAAAATGTTTCCCAGAATTCCTTCCTCAAACAGAAATTCTGTAAATGCAAGGAAGTGGCCCAGATGGCCTTTTACATAATTTTCAGGTGACTAATGCAGGCCAGCCATACCCAACCCTAATAAACCTTTATACTACTACTGGAGCTGTACTATAATCATTCACCAGCTTGAACATATTACGCTAAAAATCAAACAAAGGAAAGTCCATGTAAGGTGAGTAGTCAAACCACACAGCCCCCAAAGACAAGAGCTGTGGCTTTAAAAGTCCTACATACCTGATAAAACACAGGGTTATATTTCGACGAAAAAGTTTGCATCAGATCCTCTGCATCTGTGTAGTCTGTAGGGAGGTTTTCCACACAAAGGCACTTTGAATGTATGAGTTCTGGAGTTAACTGATTGACATCCATCCACTGAGCAAAAAGGGCATTCCCACCTACTTGTTTCCCTAGAAGGTCCAACCTAGCTTTAGCTGCAGAATCCTTTTTCATGTATTCCACAAAACCATAGCCCTTCGAATACCCAGTGATTTCACTATAAATCAAAAAGTGTCTTTCAACATTGCCATAGGGCCGCACCAACTCTTCAAACTCTTGCAGTGTATAGGAGCGTGGTAAGTTGGTAATGCAGAGCAGGGCATCAGTTGGCTGAAGCTGCACTGAGATTTCTTTTCCTCGAAGGGAGTATTGGTGAAACAACCGTATTGCATTCTGAGCCTGCTCTCCATTCAGTAAAGTAACAAAAGCTGGAAGAAAGCAAAAACAGCAACAGATATTTACATAGTCTACCACAATTCATCTTCAGCAACAATGTTGGCTTGTCGGATGAGCCTCAGAGCAAGGAAAGTACCGGCATTTATTACGAAGTTGGTGGTTGACTTTTGTGGTGCCCCAAGATCACAATAAACATAAAACAATGGATAGGGTATGTGACGTTAACATATATGAGAGAGTGCTGGAGGGGAAATAGTTAAATAGGTTGCACAGACAGGACAGGGGTGGAGTCAGTGGGTTTATAAAACCAGTTCTGGGAGGAGTTCTGGGAGGAGTTGGTTGGGAGTTGTTGGTGGGTTTTCGTGGGTTGGCTGGTTGGGAAAGGCAGTTGGTAATAGAGAGACAGTTAGGGCCGTGGGTTCTTGAGTGTGGGGAGGTAGAAGAGATAGAGAGAGGAAAATAAGACTAACAAAGTAAAGAGCAACAACATTTTGAATGCTGTAAAAGTTTTGTTTGTGTCTGAAATAAAATACACTCTTCTTTATTAATTGAAAAGCTGATTGAGACTGAAGTGATTTTACCAGGGAGGACCTGGCTGGTGGCAGCGGATTAGTAGGTGTACGGGTCAATAGTCCGTGAGACGACCGGGGGCTCCATACGAACGCAACAGTGTAAAATGTAAATCAGGGCCTATTGCTTTTTCTTCTTCTTCCTGAATTCTGAAGCAAAGTAAAGGTTTGAGAATTCATGGTTACAGTTCTCTTTGCTCATAGAAAGTGGATGTTCCATTCTTACAAATGTAAGTCATATCCACATTATATATTTAAAGCACACAACTTTCCCAAAGAATCCTGGGGGCTGTAGTTTGTTAAGAATGCTAAGAATTACAGCTCTGCGAAAGATAAACTACAGTTCCCAGGATTCATTTTGGGGAAGCCATGCCCATTTCCCCGTAATCCCCTATTTAAAAATATAAGGCCTTTCCTAAGGGTTCCCCAGCCCTCCGGATGAGGCTTTTTAGGGGACTGTTGGGGAGGAAGATCCCCTTGCCACCACCCTAAGCATAGATAGTTCCCAGTTCTATAGTAATATTGTTTATGTACTAATCACTGTACAGTGCTACCTCGGGTTACATACGCTTCAGGTTACAGACTCCGCTAACCCAGAAATAGTACCTCGGGTTAAGAACTTTGCTTCAGGATGAGAACAGAAATTGTGCTCCAACGACATGGCAGCAGCAGGAGGCCCCTTTAGCTAAAGTGGTGCTTCAGGTTAAGAACAGTTTCAGGTAAAGAACGGACCTCCGGAATGAATTAAGTACTTAACCCGAGGTACCACTGTACAAGCAAGGCTTACTTAGAAAATATTCTTTGTCTTTACTATGCGAGGGCATACTTTAAATATTATTAGTAGTGTGGTCAACAGCTCAAAACAAACACAGCTGTATAATGTTAAATAAAAACCAAGTAACATGGGATGTACCTATTAATTCCGTGCCCCCTCCTCCCTCACCATGTGTTTTGTCAAAAATTGCCATGATGTGTCTGTGGGGGTGACTGTGCTGCCTCATGTGCTGTAACCTTTTAGAGTTATTGCTGACATATCATATTTCAATAGAGCCTTTTCCTGAAATTCAATTCCAGGAAGCTCTGGTTGCAAGATTATGGTTTAAAACAGAAAACATCTTTTATTCCAGATTGCCTATTAATCATCTGCTTCTACTGAACACCGAAGCTCAAGTAGAAGTGAAACTGAGTGGAAAGATGATACCACTGAGAATCAGGAATGCTAACATTTTCTTTCAAGCCTGAATAATCAGAGGTTACACTATCCTCAAGTCTAAAAGGTTTACTAAATAAATTATAAGCATAGTGACACTTTTTTTTTTTTTTTAAGCAGGTTTAACTGAATCGTAGCTGGGACCATCTTATACTAATTAAGCACATACATAGATAGATTAGAGTAAATATTACTGTATCATTAAGGCTTTGGTTTAGATACCAGTTACACAAAGCTTTCTTATAACTTACAATATGTTTTGTAATTGAAGGGAAACAGCTGTTTCCTCAAAAAAATTATGTATTGCACAATTTGACCAATCAGGATGTGTGATACCACCACCCTTATATATTCTGTTATTCATCTATAAATTTTATTTATTTATTTATATAAATAAATACAATTCATGTTCTAGAAAATATGTTAGCAATCAGTAGTGAAACTGAAACGAAGTAAGTGTGATGTTTATAAACTACTAATTCCTATTTTGCTCAAAGGAATTATATTATGATGCCTACAAACTACAAAACCATTAAGAAGTCTAACCACTGCATGGGGGCAATTTACATTTTTGGGAGGGGACAGTAAGACCTTCCTATAAGCTGCCACCACCACTGCCCTGCCACCATTAGACTTAGGAGGCAAAGCTTCCACTGGTGCCAATGGAAGCTTTTGATCTAAGTCGAATTGCCCCATGGGGACAGGAGGAAAGGTGCAAGAAAGGGAAGGAGAGAGCAAAAAGGGTGGGAGAGAGGAGAGGAGGAGGAGGAAGTGGAGGAAAGAGAGTTCTTTGTGTATATGTGAATAGATTAACGCAATGAGTGGCAGGGAGAGTTGATGGTGAATGGGTGATGACTGATGCAGTGCAAGCTTGTGTGGCAGAGAGAAAGAAGAGAAAAAGAGTTGGGCAGAGGGCCTGTTCGGTGGTAGCACCCACCCTCTCATCAGATGTCAAGGAAATGGAAAACTATCTGACTTTTAGAAGACATCTGAAGGCAGCCCTGTTTAGGGAAGTTTTTAATGTTTGATGTTTTATTGTGCTTTTAATATTCTGTTGGGAGCCACCCAGAGTGGCTGGGGAAACCCAGCCAGATGTGCGGGGTACAAATAATAAATTCTTATTCTTATTCTTATTGGGGGTGGCTCCGGCTTTACCCACTTTGGCTCTGGCCTCACTCACTGCTGGTGTTTAATCCTTGAGTTAAACAGGAAGGAAGGAAGCCCTGCTTTTCATACTAAATAAATTGTGTTGTTGAACGTGAATATAAGACCAATGAAAGACTTCTGATTAAACCAAAGGAAATTCAAGGCAGTTCTGATAATATTGAAATAATTGAATCTGGCAACATTTCCGTACTCCTTGCACACACAAGAGGTTCCAATGCACATGCTAAGTTCCCATGCAAACAATGGGATAACAGACATGGGGAGTGTCAGTTTCAGAATCCTTCAAGGCTCATTCATATAGCATTAAACCACAGCTTTGCATTATGTGTGAACAAGGGCACTGAAGTCACAGTTTAACTACATGTGTGTCTTATGGACTTAACTAGCTCTGTATGCAAAATCTTATAGTCCTAGTTCTCCGCCATGGGCGTAAACTCTTTTTGTGTGTGTATATATACACAAACACACACACACACACACACACACACACACACACAGCTAGATAAATAAATACACACACATCACTTGTTTTTAACTGGTTTTTTAAGCTGTAAGCAATGTGTGGAAGGTGATTAATAAATAATACTTCTTGGTTCTTACCTGTTCTTTTATTTTTGTCCACATAACAGTACTTCAATTCAAAGTCTTTTAATAAATTATGGATTTCCTGGGGAGGTGGCAAAAGAAAAAAACAACACAATCCATCAGAAGAAACTCAGTGCACTGAACATTTTTATTTTAATGTTAAGGTTTTCGAATTGTTCCAAATAAAGAATTACTCCATAGACATACTGCTATACAAAACATTAATTAGGAATCAATATGAGTGAGCACTCACTTCAACCACAAGCTCTGTCCTTTGAAAAGTGGAATTAATAGAGTAGTTACTTTTTGCCTAATGAAAAAAAGAACTATAAAAGGCTGGCATACTGAGTTGCCAGATAAGGATGATGTAGACCACTGCTAATAATGCAACTCAATGGTATTTATTCTGCACTGTACAGCAAAACTGCTTCTGTTTAAAATGAAATCTCTTACTGAGATAGATTGCCTTGTTCTTCACAGAAATGAAATATCAAAAATATAATTTTTGATCCAAACTTCAGCAGTCACATTTTATTGAAAGATACAGCATTAAACACCATGTCAATAAGTAGTTAGCATTATCTAAAGTCATAGGGGAAAGTCTGCATGCTCCCAAATTTTACTGTGTGCTTCTACAACACACCAAGACTACATTCTGAAACTGTGCATCTTACCATTGCAAACAAGGTCACAGAGAAGTATAATTAGAGAACACAATTATTTTCAGCATTTCAATGAACTTACACAGTACTACTCTTATAATGCATTTTCCCTCCTCTATAATTAGGCAATTCTGTGCACATCCCTGAGGAATTCAGCAGCTAGCACCTGTTTCACAGGTGCTAAATGCTTCTTATTTTTTTCCAAGGGGTGTTGCATCCTCTTCCTGTTGTGTACTGAAAAGGAACATGTGCTTCTCCTCTCTTGTCAATGACTTAGAAATTGGGTTGGGGGTCAATGGGAACTTTATAGACTCACCAGAGGGACAATAAACTCAGAGATTTAGAGACAAGGCAATGTATATAGAGACCATATTTGGGCTGGTAAAATCAAGATAGTTCCAGAAGGGACATGAGATTTTCCTCATCAAAGAAGAATATGCTGAGCCTGTTGGCATAACAGGCTTATTCCATAGTTAATGGTTGACTGTGAACGCACACCATTCTGGGCTGTTTTGCTTTCTCCCTGCAATTGCATAGGGGAAACTCACCACAACTCCTGGCTTAGTGCTATGCCTGAACCAGTATTTGCTCCCAATAAACCACAATCTGTAAACTAAGGTTTGTTTTACTATGGTATATGAACTGAGTCATTTTGTGGAGGGGTAATACAGAAAGTAAAGTTCACAGAAAGTTTACTTCAAGAAATGCAATGATGAGAAAATGCTAAGATGTCTGAACTATATGACATTACAAAACTGTTAATCTGAGCTTTAGAAGAAAAGGAAAATAGGTGATTATAGCCACAACAAACAGGGGCTGCAAAACCTCATGCTTAAGGAAAGTACCGTATTTTTCGCTCCATAAGATGCACCTGACCATAAGTCGCACCTAGTTTTTAGAGGAGGAAAACAAGAAAAAAAAATATTCTGAACAAAACAGTGTATGTATGATTTTTGTGGTTCATGCTGTGGTAGCCCAATGAAAAATCCTGAGAATCCATGTGGATCCATGCTTTGTAACCACGTTTTTGCGCCATTGCGGCCCCACGCAACAGTGGGTGTGTGATTTTTTTTGTGTGCACTCTGTAGCCATGGACATGCTATGCGATCTGATGTTGAATTTGGGGTGACCCAATGTAAAAATCCTGAGGATCCATGGGCTTTTACCTCCCCTGTCCCAGGCAGCCTCCTTTATCGCTAGCGTCCCTTATCTCCCTCCCGATCGCTTGCCGATCAGCTGCTTGCTTTCAACACCCCCTTCCCTCGTTTGCCTTAGTGTCTTTTCCTTAGCTGGAGCAGTTTTTTGCTCCTCCTTTTCTTCTAATTTCTCTTCTCATTGCTTTAGTCTTCCTGTCTCCTCTCCTTGCAAGTTCGCTGTCTTTACCTCCCCCCCTCCCAGGCAGCCTACTTTATTGCTAGCGTCCCTTATCTCCCTCCCGATCGCTTGTGGACCAGCGGCTTTGTTTCAACACCCACTTCCCTCTTTCAAAAAAAAAAAAAAAAAAAAAAGAGCATGATCTGCTTTTTTCCCCTGTGCAATTTGGCTCCAGGGACCACGCATTCGCTCCATAAGACGCACAGACATTTCCCCTTACTTTTTAGGAAGAAAAAAGTGCGTCTTACGGAGCGAAAAATACGGTAGTTTAGAAGAGAAAGGAAAGGTGGAAAAAAGTAATGATGAAACAATAATACAGTGGTGCCTCGCAAGACGAAATTAATCCGTTCCGCGAGTCTCTTCGTCTAGCGGTTTTTTCGTCTTGCGAAGCAACCCTATTAGCGGCTTAGCGCTATTAGCGGTTTAGCGGCTATTAGCGGTTTAGCGGCTTAGCGGCTTAGCTGCTAAAAGGCTATTAGCGGCTTAGAAAAAGGGGGGGGGAGCGAAAAAAAATCTCAAGACTCGCAAGACATTTTCGTCTTGCGAAGCAAGCCCATAGGGAAATTCGTCCTGGAAAGCGCATCGAAAAACGGAAAACCCTTTCGTCTAGCGGGTTTTCCATCTTGCAAGGCATTCGTCTTGCGGGGCACCACTGTACAGTGGTACCTCGGGTTACAGAGGCTTCAGGTTACAGACTCCGCTAACCCAGAAATAGTACCTCAGGTTAAGAACTTTGCTTCAGGATGAAAACAGAAACCATGCTCCGGCGACGCGGCAGCAACAGGAGGCCCCATTAGCTAAAGTGGTACCTCAGGTTGAGAACAGACCTCCAGAACGAATTAAGTTCTTAACCCGAGGTACCACTGTAGTGGAATCCCACAGCACAGGAAGAGATACATAGATATTGATTATTATAAAAATAATTAGGTCTACTTTGGGGGTGTAAACAAGCACTATTAATTTAATTTTTGAGTCTCTTCTTGCAAAACAATTTACAACTAAAAACACTGGTTTGCATCCAGAGAAGTCATATAGCACAAGGACTTCATCCTGTGCATTGGAACTTCATCTCCTCCCCCCCCCCCCATGCTTCACAGGGTTGTGTGGTGGGATGGAAGGCAGGACAGATTTGGGGGAGCTCACAGGAAAAGGAGAGAGGAAGTTCCCCAGCACAGGCAAAATTCCTTGTGCCAACTAGATACAACCATTATTAGTATTTGTTTTTTGTTTCTTTTGTTTTGGGTTTTTTTTTTTTTTTGCTACTTTTATTACAACTTCCAAATAACAATCTATCCAAATCATAATCTAATGCTACTTTCATATTCATTGCCCATTTATGTTGCACTGTTCAGTTTATTTTGATTTCAGTTTATGGTTGGCATAGCTGCTGCTTCTCCTGGTGTATCTAGCATGCGAGGAGTGCCTGTATCAGAATTTCAACCTGACTAGGAGTCGACCTGCACACTGTGGAACATTGTTTTCAATTAATGTGCAACTGGCTATGTCTCTTCCTTTTAAAAAGAGCATTTGGTATGGCCTCCCAATCTAGGTCAGGACTGCTGTGCTGGAGGAGAGTTTAACCATTTCCTGCTGGGCCATTTGCTACCAGAAATCACCCCTGATGTGGCTATTTGCCCTTCAAATAGCACCTTTGGAACAATAATCAGTTTCATATGGAGATTTTGATTTGGAAAACTATACCGGGGAGGCCTGTGCTACCCTCCCAGTCTACCCACAGATTTTTCTAAAGCAGGTATGGCTTACTTGTGATGCTCCAAATGTTGTTGGACTGTATGACCATGATTGATGGGAGATTAAGAACAACATCTGGAGGCACCAAAGGTTAGCCAGCCCTGTTCTACAGAAAGACGTGGCAAATTTTACTTACTGATTAAATTTTTATTCTGTCTTTCCTCCCGAAACAACAAAACATAAAAGAACAACGCAAAAACAATAAAATATCCTCACAGGTTAAAGAATTTCAAAGTTGCCAGGAACAGTATCTTTCAGCCACCAATGGCTGGTTGAACAGAAATGTTCTTTAAATTCCACATGTTAATAATAATGTTAATTATGAGCAAGACAGATGTACCACACCAGGGAGAGGAACTGTGACCAAGAAGGCCCTGTTGTTGCATTAAAAACAATGAGTACTTGGCCCTAATCAGACTGATTATGATATATTTACACACTCACTCTGCCTTGAGGGTCTCCAATGAAACTGAATTTGTTACGACACATCCTTCTACTCTACAAAGTGCCCTAGATCACAACACACTCCCACCTTGCCAATCTGCTAATTCAATATACATAGCTTAGTGGGTAATAGGGGTTTGATCTGAATAGGATCAAGTGTATTCTTTTTAGTCAGATTGGATACTAGTCTCTTATTTCATCGGTTAACAGCTGTCAAATGCTGTGTTAATAAAACATGATGCTGCTCCTCAGGCTATCTACATACACTGATAGTATGTTATTGCTACTACTCAGCAATCCAATACATCTGCCTTATGGTGGGTTAAATGCAAGGGGGGGGGGAGTTGTGACCAGAATGGGGATTCTGACTGGCATAGGGAGATGAGAGAAAGGCACATTTCTTTGGAGTCTTAAATCACCATCACTAAAGTGAAGGAATGGTCAGTACACGACCAATTTGTTATGTGTAAATATATATTTGATGTTTACAGAAGGTTGAAAGCATGCCTGAAACTCACACATGCATCTTCTGAAATTTGTCAGCACACATCATTCCCCTTGGAGTACCCATCAAATAAAAACAATCCCTAGCTGACACCTATAAAACAATATTTTTAAAAATGATTCACTCACTAAAATGATCGGCTAAGCCTGTCTCTATATATAGGAATTTGTTATGCTTTCTGGCAAGTAGTACTGTACTTTAAACAATGGCCTAGCTAGCACGGCATGGCAAACCAAATTCGCAGCTGCTTTGCTCTTCCTCAGTCCTGTTTTACTGCCACTCCATGCTGAGCTAGACCAGCAAGTTGCCTGAACACGAGCTTATAATAGAATCAGAGTTAGAAGGGACCATGAGGGTCATCTAGTTCAACCCCCTGCAATGAAGGAATCTTTTGCCCAATGTGGGGCTCAAACCCGCAACCCTAAGATTAAGAGTCTCATGCTCTACTGACTGAGCTATTATGCTCAACTTATCTCCTCAACTAACCACAAGCTGCAGCCTAGAACAAACCTTGGCTTCGGTTAATGGTTAGAAAGGGGAGAGCTTAAACCATGAGCCCAGGTTTGGGCAACACGCTAAGTAAAATGTGGCTTAGCTCAGTATACCACGGAATTAATAGAAGTACCAGGAAGGAGCAAAGTGGCTTCTCTGCAGGGGGTTGTGTGATTCCCCAAATGCATAGTTTGGCTTACTGCATCATGCAAACCAGGCCAATATTCTACAACAGGAGTGGGGAGCCTCCAGTCCATGGATATAATTAGGCCCGACAGGGGTTCTAGTTACCCATTAATCACACCCCCTTGACCCACACAACTAATATCACTCCCAATTGTGCATTAGCAAGGAATGCTGATTGGCAGTGAGCGCGAGCCTGCTGGCATCATCTGCACTACTGGGTTCTGCATGGGGAACTTGGCAATGCAACTGACCCCTGCCCAAAGTGGGGCATGCGAATTCCAGCAGGCTTGAAGCTGCCACCTTTCAGCTGATAGGTGGCAACTCCAGGGTAGTTGACCAGCTGACAGGCAGCCGCTTCAGGCCTTGCTTAGCTTGGATTTTCTTTTGCAATACAGCTTGCCACTCTCCACAGGGAAGAATTGGCCAGCTGATTTCAGAGTGATGCCAGGTGGGTTGGGCAAAGTTAAGAACCCAGGACTCAGGCTTCTGGAAACCCAGTTCCCCATTCCTGCTGTACAACCTGACAATGTTAGCACACTTTTAAACAGGGCTGCTAGAGTCTGCCTCTTGACCTGTGAAGTGTTTCTTTGAGAACTCCAAATAAGAAAGAAGATTCAGGAATGCTATTTTCCAAAAGGAATGCATATTCTCACATGTGTCTTGGGAGCTAAATTAGTGTCTTGCTTGCAGTGCAACACTATTCAACAGTCACATTATTTATCATCCACATCTATCCCACTATTCTTCCAAGGAGTCTAGGAATCAATAGAGCTACCTAATTTTTCACCCTCGTAGCAACCCTGTGATCAGGATGGTGAGGTAGGAATTCTCCAGGGTCACTCAATTAGCTCTGCAGCCGAGTGAGGATTTTATCCATGGTCACCCCAATTCAAACCCCATACTCTACCCACACTCTGATCTCAGTTCTCATCTCAAATAGTACCTTCTTATTCACTACTGACAGCTAGATCACCAACCCACTACTACAAAGTACTTTCTGTTAAGTTAATTTATAACCTTTGACTTTAAGAGAACGAAATCAGCTTAACTCCCAATACACCAGCTTAACTAGCGTGGGAAAAGGCCGATCGGTCTCTTTTAGCTTCTTGACAGCTAGCTGTGCTGCCCACATTATTACAAAGAGAAAGTAGATAGCTATAATAAGACTTTCTTACTATCCCATGCTACGAGAGGATCTCATCTTCTTGTTTATTTCCTGCAAATCTAAGTATAGCCTTTGGTCATTAGCTAGCATATGTACTTCTTCAGTCTCCTAGTTAGACAAAATAAGAGGCACCAGCAAAATCATAGCAGCATCCTTTATGAAAAGGAACCAGAATTAGAAGACTGCTCACTGCAATGCCAACAGATAAATAAAAGCTTGCACTGGCTGACCATTTACTATTGGGCCAGGTTCAAGGCCTTTAACAATTTGGGTCCAGGTTGCCAAAAGAAGTGACTAATCCCTTATACCCCTGCCCAATCACTGGGGTCTTCATGTGAGCCTCTGTTAGTGGTCCCCCATTGCTCAGATGCATGGCATATATCCACCAGGAGCCATATGTCCAGTGTTTTGTAGAACTCTCTTCCTGTTGAGGTCAGAGAGGCCCCCTCCCTCTTAAACATCCAGCACCTACTGAAGACTTAAAAATATATATATATATTAGTGGGCATTTTAACAACTGAAATTCTGATTTTATAGCTTGAACTAACTTTTATCTTCATTGAATTGAGTTACTTGTACACCACTTAGAGATTATTGTAGTTAAGTGGTACAGAATATACATTTTTAAAATAAAATAAATAAATACTACAATGAACAGGAAGTATAGTTCTGAGGCAAATGACTTTAACTATGAAAAATGCAGCTTGTGACACTAAGCAGAGATGCGAAAGTGCGCATGAATGTTTTATCAACTAATACATTTTATATTTTCTAACCTATCAAATAAAGTCCACTTTTGCATGTTAACTCATAAAAATGCTAAATCATAGTCAGATTTCTAATGTACCAAGCAAGCTATGGTACTTTCAAGAGCTTATGTGTTCTCACAATTTATTATTTCTAGGAAAAGGCAAATGAAGTCATGTTGAAGCAGCAGCAAAGATGAGTACCTGCTATTTTGCAGTCAGTTTGGGGGGGGGGGGAAGCTTGCTTTTTCATTAAATGGACTTTTCTAATTGCAGCTGATTTTAATAAATATATTCCAGAACCAAAAGCTATGCTTCCACAAGACTAAAGATTAAGAGTTCCCCATTTTCAAATGCCAAGAAACAGAAGTATGTATCACTACAAAGCTACCAGAAAACATTTCCAAAACAAGTACAAATGATAAAATATGGCAATTTAGTTTCAAATGCATATATATGGCATCATTCTCTCAACTAGCGAGTGTTGGTGGCTTAGTGCCTATCAGTATGAAACACTCCCTGCCTCCAAATAAAGTATCAGTTTCTACATAAAGAGAATGGTCTCCATGTATCTAGAGGTTTCCCTAGAACAGATAATCAGATGTCTGTAAAATTAAAAGTGTATATTTAAAAATAAACGGACAAGGATCTATGAGCTTCCAGGACTTACAGAATCTTGATGAAATCGAGTATAGAGACACAATGTTGGAATAACTCAAGCCAGTCCATTGCAAGCCAGCTGAAAGGACTCCAGTCTAAGTGCCCTTTCCCATTGGGTAGTCCAATAGTGATATATGAGTTTCAGTTGATGTGGTCTGAGGATGTAGATAAGGCTATGGATCTCTGCACCACTTGGCTTACAAAGTCTAGCAGGATGGGCCAGGGAGGCTCCAAATGCCTCATTATAAGAGGGAACAGTTCTTCCCTACCTCAAGGAATGGAGGTGAATCCAATTCTAAAGAAACTTTCCCAGGACCAATAAAATATAAACAACTAAAGGCTGGTGCTGGGCGTTCCAACTTTTCATACCAAGTAGGCTGCAAAAGTACTTCGACATGGAACCTGCAGGCCGCACACTGCCTTGTTGTGCAGTGAGTGAAGTCAAAAGTTGGTGTTGGCACGCGCGCACACACACACACACACACACACACACACAGTCCTTGTGCTGCTTTCCCAAAGCTGGCTAAGTGAAGTGCTGGGCTTTAGGAAAGAGGCTCTGAGAGGGTCACAGAGCCCTCTCAGCTCCTTCCCAAAGCTGGGGAAGCGCTAACTAGGTTTTGTGATGGAGGCTGGAGGTCTCTAGGACCTTGCCAGAGCCCTCATGTCTCCTTACCAAAGCCCAGTGCTTCGATAACCCAGCTTCGGGAAGGCAGCATGAAGGCTGCAGAGGGTGACAAATATTGCTGAGGGCCACCAAAAGAGGTACTGAGGGCTGCATGCGGCCTGGACCGCCCTGGGCTAGTGGCAAATGCTCCCTCCCTGGGCAATATCCTGGAGTGGCTGGTTGCTGAACTGATTTTTTGTATAAATTTCAAATTATCATCTAAATTATTCTTGTTCTGAGGCTGCAATATTTCCAAAAGCAAAATATATTTAGACACCATGTGTTTACTCCTATCTACGTGTAATCCAATATTCCAATGGATATCCAAGAAAGCCTGGATAAAGAATGAGCTTAAAGAATACTCAGACAGCATGGCTAATGAAAATGAAAACATCTTGGCAGTGAAATCCTTTTTTGGTAACAATCCCTGCAATCCTATTGCAAGTTTCTATTACAAGGACTATTTGGACCATGAAGACATATGTCCTAAAATTACTTTTCAGCACAGCATAGCAGTATGACTCCCTCTTACGGAAAAACATTTGAACCTGTTTTCCTGTCAGAAAGTACATAATTTTAAGGAATATTTTAATCTATTTCAAGCAATTATTCTTACAGGACAAGAGCCTGAATACATATTTGCCCTCCTCTAGCTATGCTATGCAGCAAACTCGTTCAGACAGTGTAGTTCCTTATGTGGCCAAAACAGCACTGACCATGAACAAGAGAGAAGTATCAGCAGATTAGGGGAAAGTACAGAAATGTTTTTAAAGTATATATATGGGGGACTGGGGAGACTCAGCAACCCACCAAGAATGCTCAGTGAGCATGGAAAACTGAGTACAGTGTTACCTCAGGTTAAGTACTTAATTCGTTCCGGAGGTCCGTACTTAACCTGAAACTGTTCTTAACCTGAAGCACCACTTTAGCTAATGGGGCCTCCTGCTGCTGCTGCTGGAGCCCGATTTCTGTTCTCATCCTGAAGCAAAGTTCTTAACCTGAAGCACTATTTCTGGGTTAGCGGAGTCTGTAACCTGAAGCGTATGTAACCTGAGGTACCACTGTACTAGAGACAGAAAAGTTGAAGATACAGTGGTACCTCAGGTTACATACGCTTCAGGTTACAGACTCCGCTAACCCAGAAATAGTGCTTCAGGTTAAGAACTTTGCTTCAGGATGAGAACAGAAATCGGGCTCCAGCAGCAGCAGCAGGAGGCCCCATTAGCTAAAGTGGTGCTTCAGGTTAAGAACAGTTTCAGGTTAAGTACGGACCTCCGGAACGAATTAAGTACTTAACCCGAGGTACCACTCTAATGGAACAGAAACTTCTGAAAGAAGCTCTAACTAGCTGGCTGGAACCTCAACAATGTGATATTTTGTTGAAGGTCTCATTATTTTTAAATCAATTAATAATCCCCAGAATGCTAATTGGAAAGCTGAAACCTAAAATGGCTTACAGTATGATTCTACGCATGTTTGCTTAAGCAGCAAGTCCCACAGAGTTCAATGGACGTTATTTCAAAGTAAGTTGCTGTGACATTTTAAAGGCCTTCCTTGTATCCATATATGATCAGCATTATGTGCAATATCTAACATTAACCATACTCAGATTTAAGTCAATTGATTTTTGGGTGGTCTGTTCAGGGAAAGAGTTAGTTAGATCTCACCCTGTAAGTTCCACTGAAACCACAAAAATATGTACTTCTATCTGAGGCTGAAGGCAGACCATAGACAAGTTGCAGAAGCAATTCTTTGCCATGGTGCACACATATATTTCTTTTGTCTCACTGTCACTCCTGGTAAAACAGATTTTGAAAGTTATTTTAAGTAGGGTGATGGTGGAAAGTGTATGGGGTTTACAATCGGCACACCTGTGATCTTAAAATCGGAATTGTCTATTGATGTCCACATTGAGTTGAGCTTTTGTATTTTGAATGCCTCCGTATCCATGCATAGGGCAAAATAGGAACACAACAGGTTTCAAGGGTTTTTTTTATCATATCCACTTCACAGCAAATGAAAGGAACTGGCACAGTCTCTGCAAGAACTGTAAGATCTTAATCTGGTTTGATTTATGGCCTCGTTCTTAGTGTTCACCTTTCCTGTATTTTAACTTATTGCAAGTTGATATGAGACTTATTTTTAAAAAGCAATAAATACATTTAATAAAAAAAATAAAATAAATGGAACATTTTGCACTCTATTATAAAGATGCCAGACTTTGGAACTTTCTATGTGGTACTTGACAGAACAGAATATTGTCTTCTTTTTATCACTCATTTTCATTATCCACAGACTCATTCAGTGACATTCATTAGCTTGCTCATGATAGAATCTTTGCCTTTAACTTGCCAACGCCTTACTATTTTAACAGTAATGCATTTCATTAGAAGTGTGTCCCTACCACTAGTAAACATTTTATGCATATCAATACAGTAATTTTATGGGGACTAATAGCCTCTTTAAAACTCAATTCTGTATAACCTACCTCCACCCACTAAAGCAAAGCACACAGAGATTGTCACTGAATAAGGCAACTTGTTCAGCATTCAGGAACATAACAGGAGCTAGAAAGTCCTGGTTAATTTGCATGTTTTATTGCATGAGATTGACCACTTATAACTGGATATGGCATGGGTTTATTATACTTTTATTCCAAAACTGTAAATGTTAGAGGAACTTGAGACTGCCTTTGCAAAAACCTCTTATCTTGAGTTGGAAATCTATGACAATTTAAAACAAATCCCAGTTCTACTTCTTTATTGTTTTCCCAAACTTTCCCCAATTTTCAGATGCACCTGCGCAATCATGAAGACTACAAATCTGTTACTTAATGGAAAACAATGATTTCTAACAGTACCCAAAAGGCTGAAAAAGATAACTCCAAAAACCTCCTATTGGCTATCCACGTCTGTATCTTCTCATTGAACTACTGTACAACCTTTGCAACAGAACACAGTTATTCTACACAAGAGTTAGAAAAGCCAAGGGGGAAGAAAGAAAAACAGCTTCAGCTATCTATTCCAGTTAAGTGTCATTGATGTTAGCAATGGGAAGCAATTTAGTATGTGCAAGTTCTTTAGTCAATAAAATAAAACTCTTACAAAACTTTCCTCCACCTACCCTACATATTCCCTATATATTCTTGGTGAGTGAATATGAAAAATAATTAAAACTGATGGTCTCAGCAACAGTAAAAGACATGCAAAGCAATAAACAAATTGGGGAGAATGAGAACATACAAGTGTTTTTTCCAAAGGCAAAAACAAGGCACAGACAGGATGTTGAACAAAATCTCATCTGCTTTCCCAACAGGAGAACAAGAAGCAATGCCCATTTTGTTTTGCTTCTTTTCTCCTATTCTGGCTGCCTTCTGACTTTCTTTATTCAGGGATGGGAGTTCCTGCTGAGCTGCTGCTCATGCCACCAAGTGTAAGGTATAATCCCAACACAGGGCAACAAGCAAACTTCCTATCCACGGCACTGTATCCATTGCAATAAAGCGAAAGACAACTCCGCATGTTTTGCTGCTATGAAAGCGAGAGGGGAGTGTTCTTCCTTAACTCCCTCCAGCCCACAACCCCTCCTAGAACTTTCAAGACTTAGGCTTCTGCATGTGTTCTCTTTAAACCAATTATAGAGACGTCCCCTCTCTCCCACTATCTCAGGAGATGAATGACGATACTTACCCACCTGGGTCACTTATCATTACCTGCAAAGTTCTGGAATCTTATTATTCCCAACATTAAAAGGGGGGGCCCTCCCCCTTCTTCTTCCACTTTGGAGAGGATGTGCTTCTACAAGCCTCCCTCCCAGCCCAGTCGCCTCCGTTATCCCTGGCAAGTTCTAAATTACCTCTTCCCTACCTAGAGACGATGAGCCCCCGGGCCATCTTTTCTCTCCCCACGGGTTCCCGTCACGCTCCTTGAGTGACCAAGTCTTCCACAGCTGCAACCCATTAACTCTCTGCTCCAGCCCCGGGGAAAGCGGGGGACCCGTGGCTCGTCGTCGCCCCCCCCCCGCCCCTCTGAGGGCTCTGCCCCGAGCTGCGCTCCCCACGCGCCGCGAGGGAAAGGGAGAAATGGGGGCGTTTCGCTCACCTGGCTGCTGCTCTCGGCGGGCAGGTTCCTCAGCAGGATCTTGCGCCTGTTGCTCAGCTCCCTCCTGGTTCCGCGCAGCCTACGGGCGATCTCCTCGGGGGCCAGAGCGCGAGGCGTCCCCGCCTCCGCGCCCTCCGACTCCCCCAGAGTCCCGGGCAGCTCGGCGCCGCTGGACCCCGACGATGCCGCCATCTTGCCGGCCCGGACGCGAACGCAGCTCTCACACCGCCCGGGGGGTGGAGGCAGCGAGTGGGGGAAGAGAGCCAGTCGGGGCGGGCTGGGCTTGGGTCTGGGGCGGCGGCAGGGGGCGGGAGCCTGGGGAGGAGGGAGCTGGGCGCCACCCCGCGCGCAGGACCCAGCAGCCACGCTGCATACAAAGAGAGGAGAGGAGGACGGTCTCGCCCGCCTCCGCCTTCCCCTCGCGCCCCCCGACATGCCCCCTAACCTCTGAAGTACATCACTGCACTCTCGCTGCCTCGGCTTCGCCTCAGAATCACGCACAACCACAGTCAGAGCGCTCTTTTGGGGGGTTTTTTCGGTCGAAAGAAAATGATAACACACTTTTGCTAGGTTGCTTAAAGAACAAACGCCGTTGTTTTCGGAAACAGGCGCGGCTGCTCTTATTTGGAACTGCAGCGCTGCGAGCCGGGCGAGCACGACTAGCTAGCAAGGCTGCTCTCCTTTCCCCTTTGCTAACCCTTTAATTAATAAATAGCCGGGTTTTCTACCTAGAGCAGCTGCGTAAGAGCGCGCGAAGTGGAAGGCAAAGGGCAATTCGCCAGCGGTCGAGATGCAACGGGGAGGTGGGGCGGGGGGAGCAGTGCCTGTTGCGCTGCATATGCAGCTCGCAGAAAACGGGGCGAGTTGAAATGGAAGTGAGCTAGGCTACAGTCATATGCATACTTGAACTCCAAAGGACTTACTTCGAAGCAGGCAGGCATACAATGCACCGTTTGGCCAGAACGTGGTGTTACAATGGCACTCTAAAAGCCATTTCTCGTGCGCGTTAGGAGTCGTGAGAGCTTCTGGAAGTTCCTCACAGGAAGGGCGGAGTGTGAAAAGCAAATAAAACTTAGTTGCCGTTAGGGATCTTTCTTTTCTGCTTTTGCTTTGTACTTGTTTTCCTATGGGGGCATGGAGTTTGCATGAGCTTTCAAGACACTTATATTTAGCCACGTTTAACAGCCTCTGTAGAAAAAAACTAGGGACATAAAATGTGAAACAAATCTTTGTGTTTTAGAAATATGGCCCTTTTGTATTTTGTTTAATAAATATTTTTTCATTTTTACTTTTTGCATTGCTCTGCTGCTTTGTTGCTTGCTGCCCTGCACTCCTTTGGGACAGAATACAAATTTATTTAAAAAATAAGTATTATTGTCGTTTAAAATGGCTTTCTTGGTTAACTAAATAAAAAGTTTAAAAATCGCAAAAATATGTTAGAAAATTATAAGAAAAGAAGAAAACCAAACTGACTCAGAAGTTAAAAACACAAAGGACATAAAATCTTGTTTGGTTTCAACAGCCACCAGGTCAGCTGGATAAAAATAAAATAAACAGATGGGGTCAGAATGAAGAACTCCTGTTGAGTAGAGAAATTCCACCCCGCCTTGTGACCCTCCCAGTTCTACTTCTGCCACCCACTAACAATGGAGGAACACAAAGGTCACTCTGCCAAACATGTCCCTTGAAAGAGGGCTTGCCAGTAGAGTAGTAGCCAAGCAAATGGCCCTGAAACTTGGTGTTTTGGTGGTGGGGTCAGTCAACCCAGGGTCTTACTACCACCATGCAACAAATATCAGGCCCAATCACTGCTTCAGCAAGCTTACTGGCCGGTCTGCCCCCCACCTTCTGCCCGAGCTACTAGGCAAGGCAGGGCTGTGGATGTGACACTGGCTCCATTGATCTGTAAAGCCCCACTGATGGTGGGGGGAAGTTTGGATTCTGCCCTCTTCTGTTTTATGGTCTAAAAACACCAACAAAACAGTTCTATAGCAAAATCAATATTTTCCCCACCTTTCAATTAACTTATTCATGAAAGTTAATAACTAAAATTAATGTTAAGGATTCCCTGTACTCTTGGCTCTATACGAGCAGCAGTTGTTAGCAGTATTTCCTGGGAAATCATTAGTCACACATTGCAGCTGACTCCTGTAGTTAAAGGTTGCTGAATCCTCCATATTGGAATTGCTATAAATAACCTGATTGCGCTTTACTTAAATGCCAGGCCTGGGCAATACAATCTATAACATCCCATCATAGACTGGTTGGTTCCACACTTAATTACCCCTTCACTTTCTACAGCTGCAAGTTGTATTTGGGCTGCATTTTTGTATTTCCAGTTGCATTAAACATTGCACATCAGTAAAGACCAACACCTATTTGCAGGCTTTGTCTGACAAACCGGACCAATCAACTGTCTGATCCTGTGATTGGCTGCACGAGCGAGCCAGTATTTAAAGTACCGTAAATAAAACTTAGAATATGGGGTGTTGCACTGAAATGATTGGCTAACCCAGGATAGCTACAGACTTCTGATACTTGTGCCCTAATTGGTCACCCTGATATTACCTGTGTTGAGAGTGGGACAGAGGTAATGCATCTGCTTCTCAGAACACTGTAGCTTAGTTGGTGCTCCTATGAGTTGATGGTGCTGCTGCTACTGCAAGTGTGGCATGCATGGTTTAACTACTTCATGCAAAGTTTTTGCACAGAGCTGATAGATTTGGGCAGAGGGCAAATAGAACTGGTGACCATTTCCCTTTGCGATAACCTAATGTCACTTTGTCAGCACTTCTTGCGTCTCAGATATTTGCCAGTTTCCTTTTGCAGCGTGACTGCAGGTGACAATCGGCGTAACAGGAAAAACTTGCCCCACTTGCAAATGCAGGACTCCGCTCCCTGCAGTTTGCAACTGAGCAATGACTTCACTTATTTATTTATGTAGTCAATTGATATATCACTTAATTTTGATTGTCTCTAAGTGGTGTACAAGTAACTCAGTACAATAATGATAAATACCAGGAGCAAGACTGTAGCAGCATATCATAGGACTAGGACCATGAGGTCAAAACAGTCTCCCAACACTACTGTCTGGACCAGGGGTAGGCCTTCTCAATCCGGCCTGCGGACGGTCCGGGAATCTGTGTGTTTTTACATGAGTAGAATGTGTGCTTTTATTTAAAATGCATCTCTGGGTTATTTGTGGGGCATAGGAATTCGTTCATTTTTTCCCTTCAAAATATAGTCCAGCCCACCACATAGTCTGAGGGACGGTGGACCGGCCCACGGCTGAAAAAGGTTGCTGACCCCTGCTCTGGACAGAACCCTGTTGGAAGCAGTGAAGAAGCCACTGTAAAACAGCACCCAATACCCATCCCACAGAGCCAGTCCAGGAGGATACCATGGTTAAGGGTACCAAAAACCACAAGAGACTGAGAAACAGATGCATTACCTCTGTCCCACTCTCAACACAGGTAATATCAGGGTGACCAATTAGGGCACAAGTATCAGAAGTCGTCTGCTTCTGCTACTGCTCTCTCTTTTGCTATATTTGTATAAAAGCCAAGAGACTTTGAAATACTACCCATCCATTCTGGGCAAGACAAATAGAAATGCAGTTGAAATTATGTTCATCTCAGGACACAGTTGACTAGAGATTTGAACATATAAGAAAGCTACTTTAAGAAAAAAAATCTGTAATGTACTCACAACATATTAAGTTTGTAACCTGCTGGATCATTAAAATCTATGTTCGCCTGGTATCCTGTGTCTTATTGTATAAACACTCCTTGTATAGCAACGTAACATCCTTCATCTTGTTAAATATGGGTTTGCAGTCGATTTAACAGCTAATGTTTTATCATTTTAAAACGGAGAGAATAAACCATTTTGTAAAACGAGTAGTTTAGTCTCCAGTGACCAAGTAAATATTTCTTTCCACCTTCTGTTAGCTGGTTTTACAATCTTTATGTAGGTATGGAAACGACTTCTGTTAAGATTCCTAAATGTCATAAAAGGTAAAGTAAATAGTCATTAAAAAGAATCAAAGAATGCAAAACAGCTGCCCATTTCATGAGCTGCAGTGCTTGTCTGGAGTGGTGAACTGCCATTCAATGGTTGAAGGACATTACTGTGAAATATTATGATGCTACTGCATTGTGGTTAGGCATAGCTACTCAACAGAAATCTTCAAATAAATGAATGGAAAACCAGAAGTGGTTCTTCTCTGGTTCAAATGATCCAGAATCATGGAGGATAAATTATTTGATTACTTCCCTGGAGTATGGTGACCAGTTTAAAAATGGACTGCAGAGATTGAACTCTGTTCAATCATCTGAACTTATTCTATAGCAGTTGGCAACCCAACTGAATAAGGCAAGGATGGAGAATCACTGAGAGGGAAAAAGTGGCCATTTTCAGTAGGGCAAGCACTGGAGATGGGATGGCCTTTTAAAACAAGGTGTGAGTACAGTGAGAAGTGAGTTCAGAAAGGCTCTGTTGAGCTAGCTTGTTGGTGTTAGCTTCTATGTTGTACCCACTCTCCTTATTAAACTGCTTGCTGCTGCTGCTGTTTTAAAAAATACTCAGTGCCCCTTCAACACCATTTATTCAAACTTATCACTCTTCCATTTCTCAGCTACCTCCTGTGAGACGGATAAAGGATATGGAATCCTCCAATATTCTATAGTGCCTTTACAGACTGTACTTCACACCTGGTACCATGTGTTGTCTTCAACGTGAAGTTTCGGCTTCCACGTAGTAAATTATTAACAGTCAAACACGCGTATACGGACAACACCCACTGCCTGAATTTAATCTTCTCCAACTAAACAAGCTGTCAGGCATGCTCTTAAAGATACAAGAGCATAGATCATCATGGGATGTGTGCACAAAGGGGGCTGCAGAATAGGGAAAAGGATGAGGCAGGGCAATTTGGGGTAGTCTGTGTGCAAGAGAGAGTTGAGAAAAGCAAGGAGGAGGGCAAGGGGGGTGAATGTGATAATGGGGTTTGTATGCAAAGGGGGCTGCAGAAAAAGAAAGGGGGAGGCATGGAAATGGGGGTGAAGATGAAAGCAGATGCATGAAAATGTCTGCAGAATATATTCAACTGGGTTATTGAACTGGGCCCAGTGTATTACACCCTTTTAGGGTGTAAAGAAGAATTGCTGTGCCTTGGTTTTCATATTGCTAGGCCTTTGGCTTTGGCCCAGAAAATTGTAAGCACATGGGCTTTTTATAGACAACTACAGGAAGTCAAAGATCCATTTCAGCACATTTCTTTTCACTTGATATATAATGATGAGCACCCTGTGGAACCCAGGTTTTCTGCATTATAGCAATTGCTTTTAATTCCTGGGCTAAAACAAATCTACACTGTGTGTCTAGAAAACTCTCTAGTCCAGAGTTTAACACCAGCAAAGTTTCCCACCCTAAAATTTCAATGTATAAATATCTCTTTTTAATTAGCATGAAGTCTGGGGAAAAATATTGTCTGTTA